TTCCCTTCAGCCATCAAACACCTGAACAACCTCCGACACCTGTAACACACGCACACACACAGTAACACACACACAGTAACACACAAACATTGTAACACATACAGTGCATACGGAAAGTATTCGAAAGTGCTTTTTTCCACATTTCATTATGTTACAGCCTTATTCCAAAATGGATTCAATTAATTTTTCTTCAAAAGTCTACACAAAATACCCCACAATGACAACATGAAAAAAGTTTTTTTTAAATGTTTGCAAATTTATTAGAAATAAAGAACGAAAATATAATATGTACATAAGTATTCACAGCCTTTGCTAGCCTTTCCTAACCCTTTGCTCATTACTTTGTTGTCGCACCTTTGGCAGCAATTACAGCCTCAAGTCTTTTGGAATATGAAGCCACAAGCTTGGCACACCTATCTTTGGCTAGTTTCGCCCATTCCTCTTTACAGAACTCCTCGAGCTCCATCAGGTTGGATGGGGAGCATCGGAGCGCAGCCATTTTCAGATCCCTCCAGAGATGTTCAATGGGATTCAAGTATGGGCTCTGGCTCACAGAGTTGTCCTGAAGCCACTCCTTCGATATCTTGGCTGTGTGCTTAGGGTCGTTGTCCTGTTGAAAGATGAACCGTCGCCCCAGTCTGAGGTCAAGAGCGCTCGGGAGCAGGTTCTCTTCCAGGAGGTCTCTGTACATTGCTGCATTTATCTTTCCCTCAATCATGACCATCTCCCAGTTCCTGCCGCTGAAAAACATCCCCACAGCATGATGCTGTCACCACCATGCTTCACTGTAGGGATGGTATTGAGTATTGAGAGTTCGATCTTTGTCTCATCAGACCAGAGAATTTTGTTTCTCATGGTCTGAGAGTCTTTCAGGTGCCTTTTGGCAAACTCCAGGCGGGCTGCCATGTGCCTTTTACTAAGGAGTGGCTTCCATCTGGCCACTCTACCGTACAGGCCTGATTGGTGGAGTGCTGCAGCGATGGTCGCCCTTCTGGAAGGTTCTCCTCTCTCCACAGAGGAACCCTGGAGCTCTGTCAGGGTGACCATCGGGTTACTGGTCACCTCCCTAACTAAAGCCCTTCTCCCCCCGCTTCTCACTCAGTTTAGAGGGACGGCCAGCTCTAGGAAGAGTCCTGGTGGTTCCAAACTTCTTCCATTTACAGACGATGGAGGCCACTGTGCTCATTGGGACCTTTAAAGCAGCAGAAATTCTGTAACCTTCCCCAGACCTGTGCCTCAAGACAATCCTGTCTCGGAGGTCTACAGACAATTCCTTCAACTTCATTCTTGTTTTGTGGTCTGACATGCACTGTTAACTGTGGGACCTTATATAGACAGGTGTGTGCCTTTCCAAATCATGTCCAATCAACTGAATTTACCACAGGTGGACTCCAATTAAGCTGTAGAAACATCTTGAGGATGATCAGTGGAAACAGAATGCACCTGAGCTCAATTTTGAGCTTGATCGTAAAGGCTGTGAATACTTATGTACAAGCGATTTCTTATTTTTAATAAATTTGCAAAAATCTCAAACAAACTTTTTTAAAGTTGTCATTATGGGGTATTATGTGTAGAATTTTGAGGAAAAAAATTAAATTAATCCATTTTGGAATGAGGCTGTAACATAATGAAATGTGGAAAAAGTGAAGCGCTGTGAATACTTTCCGTATGCACTGTACACGGTAACACACACACACACAGTATTTTGATGAGTGGACGAGCCGCTCTTCTTCCTGAGACACAGCCGACCCATAAAATCATTATTGTTTCTATTATATCAGTCAAATAGAGTACAGACCTCTGACCTGTATCTACAGCACTAATTCATGCCCTGTATCTACAGCACTGATTTATGCCCTGTATCTACAGCACTTTCCTCTGTAACTTACATATTATCAGTTAAATGGACTCTTTATTAACTGTCTTAACAATTAGTGTCAAATTATTGGACTTCACTAAAACTTAAAATCCCTCCACAACCACACTTTTTGTGTGATTAAATTTTAATTTCATATTTCATACATTATCACACATTATCATATTTTAATTATAACTGCTAACACTCATTATCTCTCACATATTAAAATTAATTTTAGTTTTTACTGCAGGAATCTTCAGAACAACAACATTGCAGTCCTCCCAGAAAACGCCTTCATTAGAAATCCTTCCATCAAGACCATGTGGGTACCTTCAACGTCATGTTTGATCACTTCTTGTAAAACTTGACCAATAATAATTTATAACTTTTATGTCTCTCCTATTTCTGATTTTCATCTTGACAGAAACATCCAGAACAACCCTCTCCACACGGTGGGACACTCGTCCTTCCAGCTGCTGCCGGAGCTCCAGACTCTGTAAGACTCTACAGTCCTCGTTATGTACACTAGTATAATTTACTCCTGAGCTCTCTGGCTCATAGCATAACGTTAACTCTCTGTATCGTAGCGTGAAGTTAGCTCTCTGTATCGTAGCGTAACGTTAGTTTTCTGTATCGTAGCGTGATGTTAGCTCTCTGGCTGATTGGAGAGAACTAGAAATATCTCATATCTTATAATAATATCTTCTGTTGCCATGTCGTGTTTAAGGGTTGTCCTATTTACTGGAGCAGTGAACGTTTCCATTGCAATAGAACATTATGTGATGGTGATGATTTTTCCAGGTATTAGTTAGAGCCTCAGGTGTTGAAAATATAAAAAAATGATCTTGTGCTCGTGTTTTTGTTTGCAGAGTGTTTGTTCACTGTGAAAAGTCTGTGAGCTCAAACCCAGAGGAGCGCAGCAGTAAGTCTGAATGTCAAACATTAACCCAATAATGAAGAGTTAATGCTAACTAGCTAGCTGACAGTAGTTTGTTATGTTAGCTGGTAATTTGTCCACGTTAGTTTTTCATCTTGAATTTTATTTTGATATAACTGATTGATTTAGATTTGAATGATAATTGTTAATGTTTCCACCTGCAGGTCCGTCTCTGTTGCTGCTTCACCTCAGTGTCTCCTTCATCTTCATCACCCTGCTGCTCCTCCTCTCCTCTCGACGCCTCCTCCCTCCAGGAAGAGTGCTGGACTCTGAAGCCAATCTGACGTAGTGGTCGAACCATGTAATTACAGCGATGGCGTCACCTGATGCACAGTGGCCCAAAAATACTTTTTCCCACAATGCATTGTGAAAGCATTCATTTCACTGTCAGAATTTGATCCATTCAGTCGGACAACATTCTTAAAGTCTAGAAGTTTCGCAACATTAAATTATTTCTCCCCATTCAGTTGTTTTTTGTCAGTATGAGTTCATCCAGGTAACTTCTGAGCAGCTTTCATAGGAATAAATGTAGCTCTGCCTCAATGCTGGATCGTGTTTTTATTAACCAATCTCCTTCTCTCTCTTACAACTCACAAAAAAGTGATCTTTTTCACAGGTGATTTTTTTCTGTATTTTTAAAGGAGAAAAAGAGCTTCTGTACATCCATCAACACAGAAAACAAGAAAAAAACACAAAAGGTTTTAAACTGTGTAAATAAACTCATCTGTGTTCTTCATTAGAGAAAAGAACCTGATACATTATCAATAACCAATAACCATTAGAAATATATATAACTGTATAAATCTTCAGTTTTTGTTTCTTTTTTAATATTTTGGCCTGAGCAGGAACACTGTTGCAAACCCTAAACCCTGACCCAATATAGCCATCACTGACACACCCCATAAGAGCTACAGGTTTGGAGATATTCTGACCCAGTCGTCCATCAACATGTGGTTCTTGTCAAAGTGGCTCAGATCCTCACGCTGCCCTTTTTTCCTGCTTCTACCACATCAACTCTGAGGACCAAATGTTCACTGTCTGCCTGATATACCCCCACTGACAGGAGCCCTGATACCCAGATAATCAGAGTTATTCACTGTCAGTGCTCACGGTGTTAGGGCTGGTCAATGGATAATGAATATATATCACAGTAAAGTCATTGTTACCACATGGTGCTGCGACCTAAAAGCACCTGACTGTTGTTGGCAGTGAATGGGGAGTTTTGTTTATAATATATATATATATATAGATGCACCATTCTTCCTCTAGTTCTGATTAAATCAACGGGTAACATTCAGTAATGAAAGATCTTAAATTACGTTTCACGAGATTAAAATGAATTGTCATTCATTTGTAATTATTGTGATTCCCAGAAATTTACTGATATTGGTATCAATCATTTTACAAATGACACTTTTATATTTGTTGTTTGTCGTTTTTCCTCCATGCAACATATTTGCAGTCAAACGGTGTAATGTCAGCGACACATTCGAGCACTGGTTCCAATCTTTCAATGTTTTCCGGATATTTTTTTAAACATAATTTTTAAAAATCAGACTTAATCTTCTTCTTTCTGATTCACTGTTTTCTCATTGTTCTATCAGCTGTTTGCTTTCTGATGCAGGATGAAGCTGTGGATCAGACTGAAGCTCTGCTAGTGTACACTGTGATCAGATTATAATATACACTGTGATCAGATCAATATACACTGTGATCAGATCAATAATATACACTGTGATCAGATCAATAATATACACCGTGATCAGCCCTGAATATGAAGGCCTGTGAAGGTTTGGCGACCCCTAGTGGGGGGGGACCTAACCCAGTCTGAGAGGACAGTTAATTTATTTTTAGGTATTAGGATAATAGTCTTTATAGTCAATCAAAAATCAGTGTAAGATCAATATAAATTACAATCAATAAAATGTGTTCAAATATTCAATTTCAGTTCAGTTTTATTTGTAAAGTACCGATAACAGAAGACAGAGCAGCCCCCCCGACAGACCCTGTTCCTAAACCACTGATTCAGACTGGAGTAAAGAAGAGTCCCTGATGATGATGATGATGATCTCTCAGGTACAGACATATTACTGTTCAATACAGATTTATATTTGTTTCATTGTATAAAATATATTTTATTGTTTGTTGGGAGGCCGGTTCAGTCCACATTAAGACTCTGGAGACACAATAAAGACTCAGGAGACATTTGCTCTCTTTAGAAAATAATTTAATAACATTTAAATCCAACATATAAAAAAAAACAACAGTGGAAGGACTTCTCTCCTCTCCTTGCTAATAATACTCTTTAATCAATATATTTAATCAATAAATGGAGAATTGGACAAAAAGAAAAAAGACAAATTGCACATGAGAGCTCGTTAGTGAGGTCCTGACTGTCTCTAACAGCGGTGCTGGTCTGGATCTGGATCAGTCTCTGTGGCAGTTTCTCTCTCTCTCTCTCTCTCTCTTTCTCTCTCTCTTTCTTTCTCTCTCTCTTTCTCTCTCACATTCAGATCGGATGAATAGAAAACACTAACGAGGCGGCGGCTGTGCTCCAATCACAGATCCATATCCAAAAAGATTAACAAAATAAAAGTCTTGTTTTTCCTCAGAGACAAAGAAAGACAATGTGCAGCATCACTACAGGGAGGGAGGGGGAGGGGGGGGCAAACACCACAGTGAGACACCCCGGTCCATCCCCCCCCCTGAGGAAAATTAAAAACAAAAAGGAGGAACTGAAAATGAAAAGTGACAGAAACAAAAACAGGAGGACATGAATTGAACAGCGTCACTCAGCAGCTGATACTTACGTACAGACGTGATTTAAGGACGAGTCCTGGAGGAGGAGGTGGGGGGGAGGAGAGGAGACGTCTGTCTTACCTCGTCTCATCTGTCTGCCCTTACTCAATCATCTACAGCTGATTGATTTATTGATTCTGATTTGAGTTTATTGTGTCGCTGACGGACGTCTTCTGTCTGAGCTCACTCACTGAGACTGACTCCCACCTGCTGACACCTGTCCAACAGCCTCCTCAGTCTGTCCACCTGTCCTCCTCCTTCTGCTGCCTCAAACAGCAGGCGCTGCAAGGGGGGGGAGGTTGGGAGGGGGGAGGAGAGGGCAGGGGAGGGCAGCAAGTGAACGTCTGTATCCAGGTGTGATGTAAACATTGTGTCACTTCAGGTGTCTTCAGGTGACACTCGAGACCTCTGTTTACCCTTTGTCTCCAATAATAATAATAATAATAATAATAATATCATCTGCAGCTCTGCCTCAGTGTGTCACCGTAGCAACAGACATGAGGGACTTTAAATCTGCAGCTTCGGGCGCCCGGTTAGCTCAGTGGGTAGAGCTGGCGACCCGTGTACTGAGGCTGAGTCCTTGCTGCAGCGGCCCAGGGTTCGAACCTGACCTGCGGCCCCTTGCTGCGTGTCATCCCCTCTCTATCTACCCCCCTCTCCTGTCCATCTTTGGCTGTCCCTATCAAATAAAGGCAATGAAAAGGCCAAAAAAATAACTATAAAAAATAAAAATAAATCTGAATCTTTATGATACTAGTTAGCATCATTTGCTATATTAACCATTTCCTCTGTGTTAACCTACAAAATGCTGTGTTTAGTGATCAGAGTACAGCGTCCGACAGCGCCGGGCAGGGCCGACAGCGCCGGGCGGGGCCGACAGCGCTGGGGCCGACAGCGCTGGGGCCGACAGCGAGCTGCTTCGGGGAGGAGGAATAAACATCAACATGGGACTAGAATCAGAGCTGGAGGGGCCTGAGACACGTGAAGTGACTGTTATGTGTTGGCATGCGTGTTACAGAGAAAGTGAAGGGGGGCAATTACATGTTTCCACAGGGCAGCACACAGTGGAAGGTTGAGGAGGGCCTGCTGATAGAGAAGTCGCACCTAAAAAAGAAATCATATAAAATAAAAGAAACAAACACCAGATGGCAGCACTGTGTCAGTAAGACTGAACCAAACTAACAAAAACAAAACAAAGTGTGGAATGAAGGCAGAGGTTTAGAACAAACAACAACAAACATCCACTTTACACATTATTGCTGATAAAAACCTGCAGAAGAAGAAATCAGGTTCAGTAACAATAATCACTTCCTGCCAAACTTCATTCATTGTTACTGGTTGTACAACAGAGTGACACCTGTCTGTAGTTGCAAAGATGAGGACTACACTTCCTGTTGTTGTCACATGGCCTCCATCACTAACTCACCTCAGATCGCTCCTTTAGTTCCCTCTCCACAGCGATCGCTCTGCCGAGAAACAAACAGCCGGTCAGCTTCACTTCTGGAACTACTGTGGCTGTCTTTATTGGACCACACTGTCCTACATCCATCAGCAAACACACACAGAGCTCCAGCTTTATCTGGCAGCGCTCCCACGGTTACAGCCTCATTACTTTGGGCTTTTCTTGCACTCACATTCTCCAGTTGGCCAGACACTTTGGAGAGGTACTGCTCAGCATCCTGGCCTGAAACTTCAGGTGTTCAAGGTTCCCGTCCAGCCACTCCTGATGCAGCAACCTGAGACACAGACTGCAGTCAGAGACCTGTCTGTCTGCTGCCGACCACACTGTGTGTGTGTGTGTGTGTGTGTGTACCTTAGGCTCAGTTCAGAGTTGTTAGGCATGGCGTAGCTCAGTCTCTCCAGCACCAGTGCATGCTGGGACTGTGGCAGACAGCTCAGGTACAGAGTCACCACCTGGAGACACAAATCAAATAATCATCACAATGTAATGTCTCCTCTCCCCGCCGCGCACTCTGACCTCTGACCCACAAACACTCAGAGTCTTGCCTTGTTGTGGAAGCGGTAGCAGGTCCAGAACTCTGCCGGGTTGAATGGGACCTCCAGCCGAGACGGGACGGTGCTCAGACAGCGCTGGACCAGGTCTGAGAACAGTTTGGACTGAGTGTGTGCCGGACTGCGAGCCTGCTGACTGCAGCTGTACAGCAGGTAACTGCAGACACAGACAGGTTTAATGAGGCACTCTGATTGGCTCAGACTGTGTATTAATGACTTCAGAGTTTAAACACTCACTCCATCCACAGTTTGTGAAGCTCTTCCAGCTGCATGGACGACCCCAGCGCTCTCTCGAAGGCGTCCACCGTCTCCTCCACGGAGCCGTGCAGCCACTGCCAGCGACTGCAACCGACAGAGTGTATGTGGAATATGGGTTTCACAGGGAACTTTACCACAGTTAACATCTGTTTCAGATCCTAATGCTCAAAATTAATTTTAAACTCAGAATGATGCTGAAATGCAGATAAATGCTTTCATCAGCCATTTACATTGTTCAGAAGCTCACATTAACCTGTTCCTTTACCCCACCTCTCCCCTCGCAGGAGGCGCCTCACATTTTAATTTAGAACTGTAGACAAGAATTTAAAGACTGTGCGATTACAGTGTTACATTATCCATTATCTGATTTAAATGTCAGTAAACGCGTTGGGATGGTAAATGCTGAATGGACTGCTAATGCTACGTTAGCTAACAGTCAGCCAGCAGATACAGCGAGGCCGACAGCTGCTTTATAATGTGATTGATTAATGTCATTCTAATCCATACTCTGGATATTTCTGTTCAACCTGTGAGGAATAAAAGCATCTATAAACTTGAAACCCACCAGTGGATGAGGTGGAGGTAAGGCATCTGGGGACCAAGCTGCTCCTGAAGCTCCTTGATGACGGGACCTCTCAGCAGCTCCTCGGTGGGGAAACCAAGGATGTGTCTGACGGGAGAAAACAACAACAGTCCTCAATGTGTTCATTTATCACACAGAGATCACAACCACAAACTGACGTACCGCAGGACATCCACAGGTTTCTTCTGACTCTGTTCATCCTCACAGAGACTGAGGATAAATCCTCTGAACAGAGGAGCAATGGCGCTCGACTTCTCCTGTCAGACAACACAAAATATCACATTGAACTTTAACAGTAGCTGCAGATGTGGGAGGTTTACTGTCTGATCTGAAGGGTATTGAGAAACAACATGCGGTTCCATTCTGAATTAATCTCATTGTTGGTTCAGTTCCCACGAGCTGACCTGGGCCATGAGGAACTTGCAGGAGTGATAGAAGACCTCTGCGTTGTTGGGACACTCGGCCAGAGCATGAAGCCACATGCTGACCGCCTGATCTGCATTTCCTTTGCTGATGTGGAGGTCGGCCAGAGAGTCTCTCAGGGTGCAGGACTCGGGACGAAACTCCAGCAGAGACTCACACAGAACAACACCCTCATCGAACCTGCAGGAGACAACGACGTCAACTTTAAATAAAGCTGTCCCCAACTCTAATATACAGCTATAAACTTGTTAATACGCTGCTATAAACCGTGTTAATACGCTGCTATAAACCCCGTTAATACGCTGCTATAAACCCCGTTAATAAGCTGCTATAAACCCCGTTAATACCCTGGTATAAACCCCGTTAATACCCTGCTATAAACCCCGTTAATAAGCTGCTATAAACCCCGTTAATACCCTGCTATAAACCCCGTTAATAAGCTGCTATAAACCCCGTTAATACCCTGCTATAAACCCCGTTAATAAGCTGCTATAAACCCCGTTAATAAGCTGCTATAAACCCCGTTAATACCCTGCTATAAACCTGTTAATACGCTATAAACCTGTTAATACCCTGCTATAAACCCCGTTAATACGCTGCTATAAACCCGTTAATACCCTGCTATAAACCCCGTTAATAAGCTGCTATAAACCCCGTTAATACCCTGCTATAAACCCGTTAATACCCTGCTATAAACCCGTTAATACCCTGCTATAAACCCCGTTAATAAGCTGCTATAAACCCCGTTAATACCCTGCTATAAACCCGTTAATAAGCTGCTATAAACCCGTTAATAAGCTGCTATAAACCCCGTTAATAAGCTGCTATAAACCCCGTTAATACCCTGCTATAAACCCCGTTAATAAGCTGCTATAAACCCCGTTAATACCCTGCTATAAACCCCGTTAATAAGCTGCTATAAACCCCGTTAATAAGCTGCTATAAACCCCGTTAATACCCTGCTATAAACCCCGTTAATAAGCTGCTATAAACCCCGTTAATAAGCTGCTATAAACCCCGTTAATAAGCTGCTATAAACCCCGTTAATACCCTGCTATAAACCTGTTTATGAGCTATAAACCTGTTAATACCCTGCTATAAACCCGTTTATAAGCTATAAACCTGTTAATACCCTGCTATAAACCCGTTAATACCCTGCTATAAACCCCGTTAATACCCTGCTATAAACCCCGTTAATACCCTGCTATAAACCCCGTTAATACCCTGCTATAAACCCCGTTAATACCCTGCTATAAACCTGTTAATACCCTGCTATAAACCCCGTTAATACGCTGCTATAAACCCCGTTAATACCCTGCTATAAACCCCGTTAATACCCTGCTATAAACCCCGTTAATACGCTGCTATAAACCCCGTTAATACGCTGCTATAAACCCCGTTAATACGCTGCTATAAACCTCGTTAATAAGCTGCTATAAACCCCGTTAATAAGCTGCTATAAACCTGTTAATACCCTGCTATAAACCCCGTTAATAAGCTGCTATAAACCCCGTTAATACCCTGCTATAAACCTGTTAATACCCTGCTATAAACCTGTTAATACCCTGCTATAAACCCGTTTATAAGCTATAAACCTGTTAATACCCTGCTATAAACCTGTTAATACCCTGCTATAAACCTGTTAATACCCTGCTATAAACCCGTTTATAAGCTATAACCTGTTAATACCCTGCTATAAACCTGTTAATACCCTGCTATAAACCCCGTTATAACTATAAGTAATACCCTGCTATAAACCCAAACGCTAAAACCCTAATAAGCTGCTATAAACCCCGTTAATACCCTGCTATAAACCCCGTTAATACCCTGCTATAAACCCCGTTAATACCCTGCTATAAACCTGTTAATACCCTGCTATAAACCCCGTTAATACCCTGCTATAAACCCCGTTAATACCCTGCTATAAACCCCGTTAATACCCTGCTATAAACCCCGTTAATACGCTGCTATAAACCCCGTTAATAAGCTGCTATAAACCCCGTTAATACGCTGCTATAAACCCCGTTAATACGCTGCTATAAACCCCGTTAATAAGCTGCTATAAACCCCGTTAATAAGCTGCTATAAACCCCGTTAATAAGCTGCTATAAACCCCGTTAATAAGCTGCTATAAACCCCGTTAATAAGCTGCTATAAACCCCGTTAATACCCTGCTATAAACCTGTTTATGAGCTAACCTGCTATAAACCCGTTAATACCCTGCTATAAACCCGTTAATACCCTGCTATAAACCCCGTTAATACCCTGCTATAAACCCCTTAATACTCTATAAACCCAAACCCACCTTGCTATAAACCTAATACTCTATAAACCGTAATACCTCTATAAACCCCGTTAAACGCTCTATAAACCCCGTAGCTGCTATAAACCCCTTAACTCTATAAACCCTAAACCCGTTTATAAAGCTATAAACCTGTTAATACCCTGCTATAAACCTGTTAATACCCTGCTATAAACCTGTTAATACCCTGCTATAAACCTGTTAATACCCTGCTATAAACCCGTTTATAAGCTATAACCTGTTAATACCCTGCTATAAACCTGTTTATCAGCTATAAGGAGGAATAGGAGCAGCCGGAGAAAGAGGAGCAAGAGGAAGAGCTCACCTCTGCAGCAGTTTGTTGAGGAAGATGAGGTTGGTGTGAAGAGGCAGGCAGGCCAGCGTCCTCTCACTCTGGGACAGAGACTCGTCACTGCACTGATGGATGGCGTCTGAGGAGACAAAGTACAAACTGATATGAACTCCTCACACAAAGAAATATCAGGGAGGGCAGACAGAGGGCAGACAGAGGGCAGACAGAGGGCAGACAGAGGGCAGACATTTAATTGTTGTTAATATAATAATTGACTCTCCTACCTTGGAAGAGAGCGACAAGGATGTCGAGCGGCGTGCTGACGTCCTGCGGGCTCGTCCAGGGCAGCAGGAAGGACTCTCTGCTAACCAGTCTGGACGGACCGGACTCCGCCGGGTTGAACAAGCCGGACGGCAGCCGGTCGAACTCCGTTAGGTGTATGTAGGAGAGCCAGAGCAGAGCGCGGTCAGTGGCGGTCAGGTGCTCGGCGATACTCCTGTCGTGGGCAGACTTCAAGGCGTTCTGCGCATACACAGATTATTCCTGATGTATAATCGATTGATTGGCAGTGTAACGAATCACAAACCACAGCTGTGTGGCTCACCTGTAGGATGGCCAGGGCGCTCTCCATGCGTCCTGTGAACAGGTTGAGTTCCACCCTGTAGAGCAGAGCCTCCATCAGCTGGAAGGAACGTCGCTCTGAGACGGCAGGAGACGACTCAGACAGCAGAAACTGCAGCAGACGCTCACAGACATAATCCTTCCCCTCAAAAGAGCTCTCTAGGTTCAAATACTGAGGAAACAACTTTACATTAATATCAGAACTTAATGCGGCTCAATGGAAGAACCAGAGAACAGACAGTACAGACAGTACAGACAGAACAGACAGAACAGACAGAACAGACAGTACAGACAGTACAGACAGAACAGACAGTACAGACAGAACAGACAGTGGACTTACGTTCCACCACACTTGGTAGTCGGGTGCGTGCTCCACAGCCATCTCACACATCTCCTGGACCTCCTCCCTGCTGCCCCGTCTGGAGAACAGGGACAGGTAGTGGCTCCACACCTCCGGGTTGTCACAGTTGGTCTCCAGAGCGCGAGACAGCGTGTTCAAGGCCGCTTCCAGACACTCTGCTGCAGACCTACAGACACACACAGACATCAGAGTCTGTCCTCACAGAGGAGACTATCTGTCAGCCGAGGACTCACGTCTCATTCTGGTTCAGGTATTTGAAGGCCAGCTTGATCCACAGCTGAGTGTCTCCGGGACTCTCCAGGACGCTGGTCTCCAGGTTTGATATGTCATCTGTCTCACTGACGAAATAACGTTTGTCCTCTGATGTGACGCACACGTCCAGAGCGGACAGGCTGGTCCTGGAGCACACGTCTGTACGCAGATCAACCACACATTAAGACAAACACACATTAACACAAACACACATTTACACAGTGTTTTACTGTCTTTGCTATATTTGAATTGTTTGATGAAACTCTTCCTCACCGTGTCTCCCGGCCACCGTGCTTCCAGCCGCTGTCTCGTCCTCACTGTCGTCCTCGGCGCTGCAGCCGCTCTGTGCCGTCGGCTTCAGCCTCCACCTCCTGGTGTCCTTACAGGTGGTGAACGGAGGGACTGCAGGGACCAAGAGTTCAGTCTGACAGTGCTGATGGTGATAATAATATAATAATAATAATAATATAATAATAACGTTCACCAACCGTGTCGTTTGCTTTCGTTGACTTTGCTGACGAGGAGGACGGCCTTCTGGTCCACTCCCATCCGGTCTTTGTTTGTGCCGAACAGCTTCTTCATGTATTTCTCTACAAAAGACCCAGAGAGCTCAGTTCCAACAGCTCAGTAACACGGTGACACAGCGATCGGTAGCACGGCGATCAGTAACACTGTGATACGGCGATCAGTAGCACGGCAATCAGTAACACGGCAACACAATTACAGATTGTTATGATAGTTTGAAGAATTTAGGTTAGGGTTGAATATACGAGGGTTAGGGTTAGTATTAGAGTTGAATATATGAATCTGAAACCAACCTGTGGCCATGCTGACGTCTTCGTCCGAGCTGCTCTCAGAACAGCCGATCAGCGGCAGGTTGTAGGACAGGAGGTCCTGGAACAGCTGGTTTGGGGTCAGAGTGCAGTTCCTCATGTGCTGCCTGCAGAGGGAGACAAGTTATTATTAGAGAAGTTTCTCATCATAGGGACTTTGGCAGACTTTGGCTGTGTCTCACTCCGCCTACTTGCAAACTTTCAACACTTAGTTTTAAGTATATAGTGTAGATAACACAAAAAGTCAGTGCACTGAAAGTACCTGGATGACCCCCTAAAAACAGTCAAAAAATTCAGTGTGGAATGATGGACCCTAGTTGCACTGAACAGACGCCATCTTGACTACAAAGCGGAAGGGGAGAGATCAGGGACGTCAGCAAGTTTTTCAAAATTTGAAATAATGGCAGACCTCTCAGCCGTGGCAGCCGAGCTGCGATGACAAGTTCGACACCTCAAGCGTATAAATGTAAGTAATGGTGGTAATACGAGACATTGTACTGTTGTCTAATGCATCACTTACATGTGCCTCACTGACTGAAGCCGACATAATTTTTGGCGAGTTTTGGCGTCGGAGGCAACGTAGTTTCCACATGCTGTGAACTAAGTGGTAAATGAACGTGCAGAAAAATGTTTGTAAACAAAAGCCGGCAAGGAAAATCGCATTCACGTGTGTTGCGTTTGTCACGTTTGTCAAGCTCATCCCTCTCGTCATTTCCGGTAAGTGTTTTAACGTAAGTGTTCCTTTTAGGACAATACTAACCATCGAAAGTGGGCACTACAGCAGTAAGTGGTCAGTGCACATTAGCAGTGTACTGAGGGAAGTATGCGGAATGAGACACAGCCCACATCTATACAGTCAGTAATGTCTTCTATTAACTCTATTAGTGTTGACCTGGGTCAGTATGTTGGGGAATTGGGAAAGTAAGGAATCAGGCCTGTAATCTGTGAAGTTGTGTTTATCCCCAGTTTCATATAAAGCTTTCCCTTTCATTTGGCTTTGTTAGTGATTTTACCTGTTAAACAGGGGAAGCTACAGATCTCTCCTGAGATCACTTGTGTTCAAATAAAACTGAACTGAACTTGATGTCTAAGGGAAAATGAGCTTGAATGACTTTGTTGATAATAATCAGGAATGTTCAGCTCACTGTGGGAGGTTGTGGTCTCTCACTACACTCAGTCCTTTTATTAATCAGGGAAATAATTCAACTGCACTGTGTTTAAGTTCTCACCAACTGCAGTCGTCGTCGTTGCAGGTTCCCATCAGGTCGAAGCGACAGAAACACTTCCTGGGTTGGATGGAGTTGCTGTAGGTCACAGAGCTCAGAGACAACTTCTCCTTGGTCCTGTAGAACGGACTGAACCTGAGACACAGACAGTATTGATCAGACACCAGCTCGTATTATCTGACTAATTTGTTTATCAGGATGAACCAGGACCCTCAGGTCCTCTGATACTGAGACAGGGTTCCCGCTCAACAGCAGCCGGATCCCTTCATTCATAGTGGGTTCGCATCAGGAGCAGTTTGGGGGTTCAGTATCTTGCTCCAGGACATTTCAACATGCAGCAGGAGAAGGCGGGACTGGAACCGCCAACCTCCTGAGGCACAGCTGCCCTCTGATTGTTAGCTCAGGCTAATCAACCATTCAGATGTTCCAGGACACACACACACACACACACACACACACACACACACACACACACACACACACACACACACACACACACACACACACACACACACACACACACACACACACACACACACACACACACACACACACACACACACACACACACACACACACACACACACACACACACACGTCTTTCCTCTGATCCACAGTTAGTCGGAGCTGCATTCTGGTCCAGTATTACAAAGTTCTGGTTCAGGTATTGTAAGAGAAAGTAAAAGTAGTTTAGATAAACCCCTCCCTGTGTGTCCCCTCAGGGCCTCTGTAGTATGATCTAGTACCTGTATGACCTGAAGACCAGCAGGGGGCTGTGATATGATCCAAAGGGAACCGGCTTCAGCTCTGAGCTCCCTGATTGGCTGCTGGTTGCGTCCACCTCCACTGACAGCACCTGAGAGACAACACACACAGACACAAAGTCGAGATAAACTAATTTAAAACATGAACTACAATATAAAAACACAAATAAGATGATTTTTAGTAAGTGAACTCGGTGCTTTCACTTTCAGGCCTGCAGTACCTGGCTCACCTGTGCAGGTGGGGGGCTGTCCACCTGTTGTCCTGCCCTGTGCAGCTCCCTCAGCAGCAGCTCTCCCAACCGGGGCTGCTGCTGGTACCTCAGCCTCAGAGCGTCCAGGTCCAGACCTGCAAACATCTCTGCAGGAGGTCTGGAGCTGGGGGAGGTCTTGGCGGGTTTGGAGGAGCTGCTGTCTTTAGCAGGAGTGGAGCTCGGCTGCTCCAGGTTGGGTTTCGTGCTGTTGGACTGACGGAAGGAGTGCCGGCGGCCCCCTTTAGTGGCGTTGGTGGCAGCGGCGGGTTTAGGTTCTGGTTCATGGTCGTCGGCCTCGGGGACGTCCTCGCTGTCCAGGGTTAGTTTGTCCTGGGTGAGGTCGTGCAGTGAGGGCTGAGGCAGAGGGAAGGAGGCGGAGGGAGGAGGAGGGATCTGGACCCGAGGGTCAGGAGGGGTGGAGGCTCGTAGCGGAGGCTCTGTGGGGGGTTCTGAGGGGACCCCTTTGTTGCGCAGGGCCTGAGCCTCCTTCAGTTGCTGGATCTTGAGGGCATACTCTGACTCCAACTGCTGCAGACGCTGCTTCTGTGCGATCAGCTCCGCAAAGTGGCGCTCTGACCCGCGGGGGGCGCCGTCCAAGCGCTGCAGCTTATTGGGCTGAGGGGGGACAAAAGGACAGTCAGTGCTGCACACACCTTAATACACTGTACCTGTCCGCCATTTACTTCAAGGCATCAGCCCTCTACTGTCTGAGCTTCCTGCTGCAGCCACAGGGCGCTTTTAACAAAATAAACCCAACATTTCAAAATAAAAGCTTTGAATAACAAATAACCAGGGACTTTTATTGTGAAGAATTTATAGGAAATGAAATATAAATATCATAATATATAGATATTTAGGGATGCACTGATACTAATGTTTAAAATAACAATGTGTTTGCACATTGAAATATCATTATGTCTCACCTGTTATATTCTCTTTATATATTTGTATTATCATGTCTTTTCATTGTCTCTATTTTTATCTTTATTTGTTTCAACCAACTTAATAAGTCAAATCGCTATTTGCCAATAAACCTGATTCTGAACTGGTGCTGCAAGGCTAATAAATCATGCTAACTAGCGACTAATGCTAGCAGACTGCACACACACAACTCTAATTGGGTGAAAGCTAAGCTAACAGTGTATGAGTTAGCTTACAACCCTATCTTTGTTATCAACAGGTCAGAACTACCCATGTTAGTGATGTTCCCTTTATGATAGCTTCAATGAACAGAGCAGTAGAAAGGTAACAGAGTACAACATCAATCCTCAGAACTGTGGTTGTTTTACTGAAAATGATCCAGACAGATAATTCTGTGTTCTGTTGGTTTAATCCGGTCTGTGTCTCCTCTGTGGGCAGAGGCTCACACAGCTTATCAGACCATGAACCCTGTGAATATCCACAGCTTCCAGTGGGACACAGGAGGCTATAAACAGGAAACACCTATATGCATTATATTGTTATATTTATGGATCTGTTACATTGTTCTAAAGCCAGCTGGTTGCTTGTTTTTGTGAACGTGTCTACAGGATGAAAATGATCCAACAGGTGAATCGTGCTGAGGCTCACGCTCTCTCGTAAACACGTGTTCACTGTGGAAAGCTCTGACCGGCAGCAGCTGGTTTCAGGATCTTCTGTTTATCGGCCTTGTCAGCGCAGACATGAGCTGGGGTCAGATAATCAATAACTGATCCATGGTCTCTCAGTATAAAGCAGCGCGCAGAAGAAGAGTCAGAGGAGGGAAGCTCACCAGCGTCTGGTTGGAGTCTGTCCTGCGTTTGGATCCTCTGCCTGCAGACAGCTGAGCCTGGTTCAGCTCCTGCTCCAGCCTCACCGCCATGCTCTTCTTTATGGACACTCGATGTTCAACACGGTGCACCTGAGGATATTTAAACAGGTGAGTTTTTATTATTTGTAACAATCACAGACTTAATAGGCTTCTTTTCAGACAGATTTAGTGTTTTAGTCTCCCTGATGCTTGTTGTTTTACCTGCGTACGTTTCCAGGCTGTTTATCAGAGAGTGAAGGCTCTGTGAATACTCGGTTCTTAAATAATCATCAAAATATCCAAAATGACAATTTCATTAGGATTTCTGCACAGAAATGAACTAAATGCGAGAGACAGGCCTACTGTGTGTATATTTGTGTACAGTTTTATTGTACCCGTGCAGATAAAGAACACCTTGCGACTGCTATCGGGGGTCCCGACCCACAGGGACAGTCGAGCTCAGTCACATGACTTTCTCCTTGTTGATGTTAGTGTTTAACGTGTTCATGCACTGACCCCTGGTGGTCATCTGATAGTATGACCTGTCATTAATGTAAACGATATGTATTATTAAGTAATTAATAATAATGATTAATGAGTAATTATTATCATTATGTGTTGTGTAACAAATCTCACAATCTAACACGCACAACTGAACACTGTTAGGACCACCAACCTGCTCATGAATGTGGGAATAAATAAAAAACTCACCTGTTCCTGCAGCTTCTTGAGCAGGGTCCTGTTGGCGCTGACGATCTTCTCTGAGGCCTGCAGCTGCTCTCTCAGTTTGGCCACCTTCCCCTCTGCTGCCTTCAGGGACTCCCTCTTCTTCAGCTCCTGCTGCAGCAGGTGTCTGAGGACGGCCTCGTCCCTCTGCAGCAGCTCCCTGAGAGACACTCACTGATTCACTATACTGAACCCACATAATGCTGTACACTGCACTACAACACAACAGTAACAACTGCACTACATTACAACACTACAGTAACAACTGCACTACATTACAACACTACAGTAACAAATGCACTACATTAAAACACTACAGTAACAACTGCACTACATTACAACACTACAGTAACAACTGCACTACATTACAACACTACAGTAACAACTGCACTACACTGCACCACACTACAAGACTACAGTAACAACTGCACTACATTACAACACTACAGTAACGACTGCACTACACTACAACACTACAGTAATAACTGCACTACACTACAACACTACAGTCACAACTGCACTACAACACTACAGTAACAACTGCACTACAACACTACAGTAACAACTGCACTACAACACTACAGTAACAACTGCACTACACTGCACCACACTACAACACTACAGTAACAACTGCACTACACTACAACACTACAGTAACAACTGCACTGCACTACAACACTACAGTAACAACTGCACTACATTACAACACTACAGTAACAACTGCACCACACTACAACACTACAGTAACAACTGCACTACACTACAACACTACAGTCACAACTGCACTACACTACAACACTACAGTAACAACTGCACTACACTACAACACTACAGTAACAACTGCACTGCACTACAACACTACAGTAACAACTGCACTACACTGCACCACACTACAAGACTACAGTAACAACTGCACTACATTACAACACTACAGTAACAACTGCACTACATTACAACACTACAGTAACAACTGCACTACATTACAACACTACAGTAACAAATGCACTACATTAAAACACTACAGTAACAACTGCACTACATTACAACACTACAGTAACAACTGCACTACACTGCACCACACTACAACACTACAGTAATAACTGCACTACACTACAACACTACAGTCACAACTGCACTACAACACTACAGTAACAACTGCACTACAACACTACAGTAACAACTGCACTACAACACTACAGTAACAACTGCACTACACTGCACCACACTACAACCCTACAGTAACAACTGCACTACATTACAACACTACAGTAACAACTGCACTACACTACAACACTACAGTCACAACTGCACTACACTACAACACTACAGTAACAACTGCACTACACTACAACACTACAGTAACAACTGCACTGCACTACAACACTACAGTAACAACTGCACTACACTGCACCACACTACAAGACTACAGTAACAACTGCACTACATTACAACACTACAGTAACAACTGCACTACATTACAACACTACAGTAACAACTGCACTACATTACAACACTACAGTAACAACTGCACTGCACTACAACACTACAGTAACAACTGCACTACACTACAACACTACAGTAACAACTGCACTACAACACTACACTGCACTACTACACTACACTGCACTACTACACTACAGTAACAACTGCACTACACTACAACGCTAAAGTAACAACTGCACTACACTACACTACAACACTACAATAACAACTTACACTACAACACAACAGTAACAACTGCACTTCACTAGTTTTTACACTGTTTTATATAAATATGAAGTTAATTATTCAGATTTGGGACATTTTCTCACTAACCACCCACCTGTTGGAACCATCCTAAACACACTGAATGAAATAAATAGCTCCTATTCTAAAGTTATGAATCTGTTGTTTATCTGTTTACTAAGCAGATTTATGGACTGTGGATTGGATTCATACTGTAAGACTGAACTTTTATAATAAGGTCTGTATATATTAACAGTGTTTGCTGACCTGTGTTTGTGCAGTCTCTGCTCTGCCTCACTCCGTTTCAGCTCTACAGCCGATGAATCCAGACCAGGATCAGAACCAGCAGGAGAGCTGGAGCTCCGAGTGCTCAGAACCTGATCCTTCAACATCTTCTGCTTCTCCCGGCTGAAACACACACAAATATATTTTTATATTATATTGTAAAGAGGTTTTATATTGTAGTCTACAGCAGCAGTCAGAAGTCAGATGTTTTACATTGTAAAGACACAACCGCAGCAGTTACAGTGAGGTTGTAGTGATTTTATCTACCTGGCTATTTCCTCTTTGAGCAGACGGTATTCGGCCTTCTTGGCTTCAGGAAGAGCTTCTGGAGTTCTGACCGGGTTGTTCTCCTTCTCTGATCCCGACGCTGCTTTAGGCTTCGCTGCCTGGAAGAGTCAGACAGAGACGGTTCCCGCTCTTTAACAAATCATTTCCCAGGACTTTTCAGCAGTCGCTCACAACTGCTGACAGTAACAATTTTTAATCATTAAGTTTTAATCAATTCCCAGGTGTTTCTATGACTGGAAAACTAGTCTCTACATTTCCATGTTTCCAGGACACGTGGGATCGTGTTATCACCTAATTGATTAACTGATTAATTGTTGCAGCTCTAAAAGCAGGTGGTCCTTCTGAGGGAGGTGACAGAGCAGCCAAAGTCGACTCCTTTCATTCCAGTCTCATTGTGCAGACTGGAATATTTGGTAATATTTGGTAATATTTTGTGTGTGTGCAGCAGAGACAGAAGATGGACGCACCTCGACCGTCCTTCGGGCCTCTTTGATCATGAACTCCAGTCCTCCAAATGCCACTTGTGATGAGCTGCAGGCATCCATATCAGAGTCGCTGTCATCTGAGTCGTTGAGAGAAACCACCACAGACTTGTGTCTGGGCAGCTGGATGGAGACAGACAGGGAGACAGACAGTGAGACTCTGCACTGATCCATGACCTGTTATTAACAGGTCATTAAAGCAGACTGATGAAGACGAGCAGGTTCTCACCACCAGTGGAGCTCTGACACTGTGGTGTCCTCTGGTGAACTTGCTGGTTCTGGACTGAGACACCGTGTTCAGGCTGACGGTGCTCAGGTTTCCTCTGGTGGGCTGCTGGACACCGGCAGGAGGGGGACAGCTGGGAGATGGAGGACCACTGGAGCTCTTCTCCTACAGACAGGAACCAATAGATAGATCAATATTTAGAGGGATAAGATTGAAAAGCAGCAGCTTCTGGAGGAAGTCCACCAGATTCTGATCTGATCTGGAGACGTTTACACAAGTTCACAACTTTTGAGATTAAAAAGTGGATTTATCTTCACTCCCGCCTGCTGTCACTGTAGCACACTAACCTCAGTTGCTGACACTCTCTTGTTGGCCATAGACATCAGACAGGTCTCCCTCAGCAGCATCTCCTCCTCCTCTTCCTCATCTGCAAAGGGAGGCTTGGGAGGAGGCTCCAGCTCGTCTGGTGGAGGAGGGAGGGGTGGAGGCGGAGGAGGAATGCCAGACAGCATGGGGGAGAGGAACGGCTGCGGGGGAACAGAGGAACCAAAGGCTCTATTACAGGAACAAAACGCTTTTACTTTGAAAATGTTGCAGGAAGTAAAACTTTTTCTCCATTTTAATGTAAATAGTAAAATAACTACATTGTTCATCTCTTCCTTTAAAAGATTAAAACCAAATCAACTGTTTTATCATCAGATACAAAGGAAAATATTATTACATAGTTTATATTTTTAAATGCATCGAAATAAGCATCAGATTGTTGATCATTACAGATCATTACAGAGGCGGGGGGCGTACCATTCCAAAGTGATGAGAGTCGGAGACATAAAGACACACCTGAGGAAGACATCCTGGATCGTCTGCCGGAAGCTGCTCATGTGTCGGTGACGGTACTGAAACACAGTCATTACATAAATCAATGACAACCTTCCACAATAAAAGCTCACCTATACTACAACCTTCCACAATAAAAGCTCACCTATACTGCAGCCTTCCACAATAAAAGCTCACCTGGTGAACTGGTCTCGCTGTCCGTGTCCATCGCCACCTCGTCATAGTTGTCATACTGGTAGAGGTTCCCTGAGGCATCCAGACCTTGTTTACCTGCAGACTTCCTGTGTTCCCGGTCTCTGGACTGAAGGACAGGGATACAACAGACTTCCTATCACTTTAACTCTTCTTCTGTGGTGTTTTGATTAATGATTGCTCTTTTGTTTTTTGATTGTTCACATTCAAAAAAAAGTTATTAACTACATTTTAATATGAACAGATTTTTGTGTCATTACCCAGCATCCTTTTCTGCACATGCTCTGCTTCTATCTACATTTAATAACCAGGTTTCTGTAGATCTGACTGAGCGGCTAAATTAAAATCTAAACGTTCCAGGACAACAAATTACTTCCAGGATAATTGATAAATGATATTTAAATCAATTTCCAGCTGTTTCCATGAAGGAAAACTAGTCTGTAAATGTCCAGGTCCCCCGGAACTCTCTGGACTCTCAGTAAACTCAATGTTTTTAATCAGACACTAAAAGACAACAGCTTGATTTTCTCCTTTTATAATAAATCCACTGTTCGTGCTCCTACTTTGCTGCGTGTCATCGTCTTCCCTCCCACCAGCTTCATGAAGCGGTTGTACTGCTCGTCCTGGTTGGACAGATCGCGGATCCTGCGGATTTCGTCCTCTCGTTTGCGGCGCTCTTCCTCTTCCTGTCGACGTTTCTCCTCCTGCTCTCTTTGCTGCTGCAGCTTCCACGTCCTCAGCTGCTGCTTCCTGAATGCCTGCTTCGCTGCCGAGCCTGAGAGGAAGAGCACCATTATCATCATCATCATCATCATCATCACACTGATACTGATCCTACCACAGTGTGAACCTGTCCAACCCTCTCACCTGGACTGATCATCTTTTTGGCCATGTGCGGTTTTCCTGGAGCTCTGCCTCTCTCCAGCGGAGGTTTGGGACCAGGTTTAGGACCCGGTTTGAGCCTCTCTCTTTCTCTGTCTGGAGGTCTGGGGCCAGTCTTGGTTCTGTCTCGGTCCCTCACCAGTGGCTTGGACCTGGTTCTGCTCCTGTCTGTAGCGGCGGCAGCAGCGGTGGCAGCAGCAGCGGTGGCAGCAGCAGCAGAGGCCGACCTGGTGGTGACCCTCTGCCTGCTGGGCAGAGCGGCTCCAGAGCTGGAGCTCTTCTCCTGGACCACTTTAGTGATCCGGTCTTTGCTCTTCTTCATCACCTGCTGCTCCTTCTGCTGCCACTTCTTACTGGCCGACTGCAGAGCGAGGAGACGCAGCTGCAGCTCCGACAGCTCCTCTTCCTCCACCTTCACCACCGGCTGCTCAGAGACACATACAAGTAGTAAGTAACTGTTATCCATCACTGCCGCTGTTTTTGTTATTGATTATAATCAATACAGTAATATCAGAAACATACAGAAATCTTTAGTCAGGGGCAGCTTTAGTCTTTTCAACTTAAAAACTAAATAAAGGACTAATAATTGGAATAATTGGTCCCAAGTGGAGTTTCTTCTGTACACAGCTGTGGTAAAAAGAACGGACACACTGATCTATTGATCTCTTGATATAGTTCTGGTTACGTCTGTCCCACCTTGTCAGGAGAGACGAGCGAGTCTTCGCTAGACGCCGACGATTCTCTCCGACACGAACACGTCTTTATGGTTTTCTCATCTTTGTCCGTCTCTTCGCTGCAGCAGGGACACGTCTTCTTCACCTCCACGTCTTCTTCACTGGCTCTTTGTTCCGTTTCTGCTCCAGCTGCTGTTCTTCTGTCTTCTTCTTCTACTCCTTCTGGACACACAGGAAGTGAAACCACAATTTTATTGTTTGGTTATATATCTGTGATTGCTGTTCTATTTTCACTTTTTTATACATAATCTGTGAAAGCTACTCAGCAATAACCTTGTTTATGATTCTATTAACAACTTTCTACAATAAAAGCTCACCATACTGCAACCTTCCACATTAAAAGCTCACTATGCTGCATACTGTGAAAGCTACTCAACAATGAACATGTTTATGATTCTATTAAAATAATGTAAATGATGAACTGATTATCAGAAACCTTCAGAGAAACATTGATTATTGAGTATTTGTTCTCACCCTGCTCCCCAGTGTCGCCTCCCGTCTCCTGCTCCTCCCACTTCCTCTTCAGCTCGTCCAGGTTGACGGGGACGGGCAGTTTATAGCGGAGAGGTTTGATGTTGAACGCCTGGAACACTTTCTTCTCCGCCATCTCCAGCTCAGACGCTTCCTCCGGACTGGGAACGGGTTGTTGGGGTACTGGTTTGGTCTCTGCAATACTGGCGGCGTTGGGGTCTGGGGTCTGGTCTCTGGCGGGGGAGTCTTTGGGCTCCAGAGCCATGGTCTCCTCTTTTCGGATGCACTCCAGCTCCAGCTGGATCTGCTTATACTTGGACAGGAGGTCCTCGAAGGACTCGTCAACACTGTTCTCTGGTTTGGTTTGAACACTGTGAGCTGGTTTCCTGGTCTGGTTCCTGCCCTGAGGTTTCTCTGAGGTCACATGTTAAAGAACGTACAGCTACTAATAATCAATTAGTCAATTCATCAATTAGTCTGTAAAGAAAGAAAATTGAGTTCATCACCATTTCTTGTTTTGTCTGACCCACAGACCCGAATCCATCTAATATTCGGGACCACAACTCACAATTATTTACATGATCTGTCGATATCATGGATTAAGCAATTATTTGTTGGTCAGACATCCTCAAAGAGCTGACTGTAGAAACTACTGACACACCTGTACTGTGATATACACTACTGACTTGTCTCTGTACTTGTATTATTAGATCTTAGTGCTGCATTTGACACCATTGACCATAATATTCTTTTACAGAGACTTGAGCATCAAATTGGCATTAAAGGAACCGCACTAAGCTGGTTTAAGTCATATTTATCAGATCGCTCGCAGTTTGTACATGTTAACGATGAATCTTCAATAAATACTACAGTTAGTCATGGAGGTCCACAAGGTTCTGTACTTGGACCAATACTATTTACTTTATATATGATCCTTTTAGGCAACATTATTAGGAATCACTCCATTAACTTTCACTGTTATGCAGATGATACGCAGTTATATCTATCAATCAAGCCCAATGAAATTAATCAATTATCTAAATTACAAACATGTCTTAAGGACATAAAGTCCTGGATGAGCTGCAATTTTCTGATGTTAAACAATGAAATTCTTGTTCTTGGCCCCAAAAACCTTAGAGACTCACTGTCTAAAGATATAGTTACTCTAGATGGCATTAACTGGCCTCTAGCACCACTGTCAGGAATCTTGGAGTTATCTTTGATCAGGATTTGTCTTTTAACTCCCACATAAAGCAGACCTCTAGGACTGCCTTCTTTCATTTACGTGATATTAGAAAAATTAGACACATCCTATACAGACAGATGCAAAAACAACCATGCATTTGTTACTTCAAGGCGGATTACTGCAACTCTTTATTATCAGGTTGCCCCAATAAGTCCATTAAAACGCTCCAATTAATTCAGAACGCTGCAGCACGAGTACTACAGGAACTAAAAAGAGATCACATCTCTCCTGTACTAGCTTCTCTGCATTGGCTCCCTGTAAAATGTAGAATTGAATTGAAAATCCTCCTCCTCACCTATAAAGCTCTTCATGGTCAGGCCCCTTCATATCTTAAAGAGCTCATAGTACCCTATTACCCCACTAGAACACTACGTTCTCTGAATGCTGGGCTACTTGTGGTTCCTATAGTCTCTAAAAAGTAGAACAGGAGCCAGAGCCTTCAGTTACCAAGCTCCTCTCCTGTGGAACCAGCTTCCAGTTGTGGTTCGGGAGGCAGACACCCTCACCACATTCAAGAGTAGGCTTAAGACATTCCTCTTTGATAAAGCTTATAGTTAGGGCTGGATCAGGTGAGTCCTGAACCATCCCTTAGTTATGCTGCTATAGGCCTAGACTATCGGGGGATTTCCCATGGTGCACTGAGCTCCTCTCTTCCTCTCTCTTTCTGCACTCATTCATGTCCCATTAATGCATGTTACTAACTTCACTTCTTCCCCGGAGTTCTTGTGCTTTCTCGTCTCGCAGGTTCTTATCGATCCTGGTGGAGCCTCCTGCCATGGTCCTGCTAGACTGCCATTGCCAATACTGTTGTTGCTGTGCACCTGTCTGTCTGTCTGTCTGTCTGTCTCTCTCTCTCTCTCTCTCACCCCAACTGGTCGAGACAGACGACCACCCACCTAGAGCCGGAGGATCTGTCCTAGGTTTCTGCCTTTTAACAGGCAGTGTTTCCTTGCCCTTGTCTCCAAGGTCTTGCTCATGGTGGTACTGTTGGGTCTCTGTAATTAATGTTAAAGAGTTCGGTCTAGACCTGCTCTATTTGAAAAGTGTCCTGAGATAACTTCTGTTATGAATTGGCGCTATACAAATAAAATTGAATTGAATTGACACACCTGTAGTGTGATTAGGGTTGCAAAGGGGCAGAAAGTTTCCGGTAAATTTCCGGAAACCTTCCATGGAGAGATAAGCTGGGGAATTTTGGAAACATTCGAATTTGGAAACTTTCATGGGAATTACTGGAAATAATGGGAATTTAGGAGAATTAACTGGAAAAGTTGGGTAATTCATACAATATTGAGATGTATTTTCTTTGTATTTGTGCTACGTTGGTCGTTTTAATGTCGACTTTAAATTCTCCTACACACTGTTTACATTGCTGCTTTAGTCCGGTCACCAGTTTATGCATTGCACCGTGTTACTGTGAGTTCAATACAATGTAAAGGTTGGTTTCTGAGCTGGTTTGCTAAATAGGCTAATGTAGCTAACAATAACACTAGCCTGCCCCTGGAGGCCCCTGGAGGTTCCTGGAGGCCCCGGGGGGCCCCTGGAGGCTCCTGGTGGCCCCTAACAACACAGCTGCTGCACTGGGGGCGTCCATGTTCTCTCTGACTCGTAACGCCCAAAGACAACTAGAACGCTATAAGTGGTACAAGCCGGGTAATTACGTCACGTTCTCGCGTCAGAGCAACTCAGGCGGGGGATTTACGAGACAAACGGATAGCACCATAAGTAGTAGCCCAAACCATTGACCTTTAGCTTAACATATGATGGTAGCCAGCATGCTGCCTTTGATTTACTATGGCTATGGTTATGTTATATGCGTACAATACAATTAACCCAAATAGGTTAATAGCAATGGGTTATGTATTAACCCCCCCGCCCCAAAACAAAAAAAAACTCCCATATTTTAAAAAATAAATGTTGGCAAGTATGTAGTAGCCTATGCTGATTACTGCGTGTGTGCATGTCATTGACGAATATAAAGAGGACATTCAACTGAAGCTGCATTAAATCAGGTTGTTTTAAGTGAGATTATCCTGCAAGATGTTTCTTTTCAACTACATGTAAGTTCCCTGTTATAGACTAACGGTATTATAACAAGCAATATTAAAAATATCCAGTTTATTCACATTAATTCCCGTTTATTCACATGGAAAGTTTCCAACTTTGAAAATTCCTGGAATTTTGCAACCCTAACTGTGATATACACCCTACTGACACACCTGTACTGTGATATACTGACACACCTGTACTGTGATATACTGACACACCTGTACTGTGATATACTGACACACCTGTGCTGTGATATACTGTGATATACTGACACACCTGTACTGTGATATACTGACACACCTGTACTGTGATATACTCACACACACCTGTACTGTGATATACTCACACACACCTGTACTGTGATATACTCACACACACCTGTACTGTGATATACTGACACACACCTGTACTGTGATATACTCACACACACCTGTACTGTGATATACTCACACACACCTGTACTGTGATATACTCACACACACCTGTACTGTGATATACTCACACACACCTGTACTGTGATATACTGACACACACCTGTGCTGTGATATACTCTATAGTGTGTACAGGTGAGGGTTGGGCGTACAGGTGTATATCTGGTTATCATCTCGGAATGTCGGTAATTGAATCAGTGTCCCGGGTGAAGGATACGTTTTCTGGAGGGGGAGCTGTGACTCTCTCCGGGCCCGTAACGACCGGGGGGACCTCTGTTGTTTCCACCCCGACTGGCTCGGCTCCAACTCCCGCGTCCACCGTTCGGCATGGCCCGGTGTCTGAACCGGCCCAGGGCACCGTGGCTCCGCTCCCAGAAGCTGGTTCTCGGGCTCGGCTCGCCGTGAGGCCCGAGTCCCGGCGGCGGCGGCGGCAGCGGCGGAGGAGAGGGAGCTGGAGGCCGGTCGGGCCCGCTCGGCCCGCACTGCTGTCGGTGGCTCAGCGGGAAAGGGCCGCGGTTGTACGGCCGCATGAGGCGGAACTCTGGCGGCGGGTGGCCGGGGTGGCCCGGGTGGCCCGGGTGGCCCGGGTGGGGCAACATGTTGTGCGGATGCTGGTGAGGTTTGCGAGGCCGCGGAGGAGCGCCGCGGCCCGGCCTGCTACCATCCCCCCGCCGGATCGGCACACTCTCCTCGGTCTCATCGTCGCAGATCTCTCCGTCTTCCAGCTCGCCCTCCTCTCTGGGAGATCGATTCACCGCGTTCAGATCCATATCGATAAAGTCCGGACTCACTGGGAACTCATCGGACGGTAGACGGGACGTTCATGGCGGCGGTTCACCGGACAGTTGATGTTAGCTAGCTGCTAGCTTCTTCTCTGTTGCTCTCGCCAACTCTCGCGATACCACGAGAGTTACACACCGGAAGCAGCCCATATAGAGACAAGTGACTTCTAAAAGGCCCAGATAGATAAGATATTCCTTTATTTGTCCCACAAACAGCAGCAGAGTGATAGAGAATAACAGTAAGAGGAGGAAAATAATAAATAATAAATATAAACACTGTACAAGAACCCACAAACAGATAACACAATATTAGCAGCAGCAGTTGCACATGGGCAACAGATTGTACAGTGATGGGGAATGGTAGTGCACATTGTTCATATATATAAAGATTATATAGTATATAAAAACATTAATTATTATTATTGATGCCGAGATGGGGGGGGGCAGTGCTGGTTGTTAAACAGTCTGACAGCAGCAGGAAGGAAGGACCTACGATATCTCTCCGTCACACATTGGGGTCTGCTCAGCGTACTGATGGTGTCCTGCATGGGGCTGGAGACACTGCAGATAGCAGATGGTGGAATATTGTAATAGTAATAATTACAACAAATTAACACCACCTATTTTATTTATATATGATGAGTATAATATTCATGCATCTGTCTGTGTCTGTCTCTCTCTCTCTCTCTCTCTCTCTCTCTCTCTCTCTCTCTCTCTCTCTCTCTCTCTCTCTCTCTCTCTCTCTCTCCCTAACTGGCTCGAGATCAGTCGCCCCCACCCACCTAGAGCCGGAGGATCTGTCCTAGGTTTCTGCCTTTTAACAGGCAGTGTTTCCTTGCCCTTGTCTCCAAGGTCTTGCTCATGGTGGTACTGTAGGGTCTCTGTAATTAATGTTATAAAGAGTTCGGTCTAGACCTGCTCTATTTGAAAAGTGTCCTGAGATAACTTCTGTTATGAATTGGCGCTATACAAATAAAACTGAATTGAACTGAAAAAATGTAATGTGTATAATATTTCATTCTGTAGGACACTGTTACTTAACCAATCACAAGATTATTGTTGGTGCCAACAACATCTTTGACTAAACAAAATGTAACACACCTTCAGCAGGAACTGCTTCCAGGAACAATAGAGCCTGTTAAATACCTACCACCTACCTGATGGTAGAATGAGGAATATTTACTCTCCTCTACTCATATGTGCTGCCTAACAAAAGCAAACAACTAATATTTAAAATCATGCAACACAAGGCTGTATATTGAAATAAAAGTTTGTAGTTCCTTCATGCTCCACACATCAAATTCATAGAATAACAATAAAAAGAAAAGAAAAGAAATCTACATATTGTTATTTATATAAATACATACCGTATATACATATACATATATGAATTTGCGTCTGGGGGAACGTAATGTTAATAATGTGATAAACTGCATGATTTGCAGATATATTCCCAGTATAGCAGACGAGCTCCTTTTGTTTACTCAGTGTGCACATGTGGCAGTATTATGGGCTGATTTCAGTTCTTAAAACACATTTTGGAAAAGAAATTTGACTTATAGAACATTTTCATAGTCCTTAATATTAACCAGTTCTAATTTCACCAGCAATGAACCATATATTTTTATATTAACATATACATTTGCTCATTGTTTTAGCTCAATTTTACATTCATACAATCTTAAACTAAACTCTTGTTTACAGTTTTTTTGTGCGTTTAATGTATTTTATTTTTGCCTTTATGCATAGTTTTGTCATCACTATTTTATAAGATAATATAATATTTAGCTTTGGTACCCCTGGAGGAAACTGAGGTGTCATCAACACAGGAGGGGGCCAGACACAGAACCAAACCTGGACAATAACAACAAATACAATACAATGTGAATTTCCCCTTGGGGATGAATAAAGTATCTATCTATCTATCTATCTATCTATCTATTTATCTATCTATCTATCTATCTATCTATCTATCTATCTATCTACAACTACAGTCTATCAATCTCAGTTTTAGACAAACAGCACTTATGAGATACATTATTATTTATTCATTTATTTATATTTATTATATTTTGTGTTGTCCATTTTGTTCTATACATTCTCTTTGTGAAAGGGTAAACAATAAACACATAAATAAATAAATGTGAACACGCAGTGCGCCTGCGCCGGGTCTTCCGCCGGAAGCTGAGTTGTCACTTTTGTTTTGGAAGTTGACAGGCACGTGAGCTGCTGTCGTCATCAGCAGAGGAGCAGCGACATGGCGGCGAGTTGTTCTGTGAAGGTAGAGACACGTTAACGTTATTCATCCGGTTGTAGCTCCGGTTGTAGCTCCGGTTGTAGCTCCGGTGGTAGCCCCGGTTGTAGCTCCGGTTGTAGCCCCGGTGGTAGCCCCGGTTGTAGCCTCATCTGCTCCGGTTGTAGCTCCGGTTGTAGCTCCGGTTGTAGCTCCGGTGGTAGCCCCGGTTGTAGCTCCGGTTGTAGCCTCATCTGCTCCGGTTGTAGCTCCGGTTGTAGCTCCGGTTGTAGCCTCATCTGCTCCGGTTGTAGCTCCGGTTGTAGCCTCATCTGCTCCGGTTGTAGCCTCTCGGTTGTAGCTCCGGTTGTAGCCCCGGTTGTAGCCCCGGTTGTAGCCCCGGTTGTAGCCCCGGTTGTAGCCTCCTCCGGTTGTAGCCTCATCTGCCCCGGTTGTAGCTCCGGTTGAAGCCCCGGTTGTAGCTCCGGTTGTAGCCTCATCTGCTCCGGTTGTAGCCCCGGTTGTAGCCCCGGTTGTAGCCCCGGTTGTAGCCCCGGTGGTAGCCCCGGTTGTAGCCCCGGTTGTAGCCCCGGTTGTAGCCTCATCTGCTCCGGTTGTAGCCTCATCTGCTCCGGTTGTAGCCTCATCTGCCCCGGTTGTAGCCCCGGTTGTAGCTCCGGTTGTAGCTCCGGTTGTAGCCCCGGTTGTAGCCCCGGTTGTAGCTCCGGTTGTAGCCCCGGTTGTAGCTCCGGCTGTAGCTCCGGTTGTAGCTCCGGTTGTAGCTCCGGTTGTAGCTCCGGTTGTAGCCCCGGTTGTAGCCCCGGTTGTAGCTCCGGCTGTAGCTCCGGTTGTAGCTCCGGCTGTAGCTCCGGTTGTAGCTCCGGTTGTAGCCCCGGTTGTAGCTCCGGTTGTAGCCCCGGTTGTAGCCCCGGTTGTAGCTCCGGTTGTAGCCCCGGTTGTAGCCCCGGTTGTAGCTCCGGCTGTAGCTCCGGCTGTAGCTCCGGCTGTAGCCCCGGCTGTAGCTCCGGTTGTAGCTCCGGCTGTAGCTCCGGTTGTAGCCCCGGTTGTAGCTCCGGTTGTAGCTCCGGTTGTAGCTCCGTGTTTCCACCGCGGGTCGGTCAGTTAGCTGGAGTTAGCGTTAGTGCTAGCTGTATTAGCTGTATTGTACTCCGCAGCAGGAGATGTTACAGTCCGCGGTTGTTACGGTTGTTACGGTTGTTACAGTCCGCGGTTGTTTCGGTTGTTACGGTTGTTACGGTTGTTACGGTTGTTACGGTTGTTAGCTTACATCAGTCTGTATGTTTAGTTTAAAGTTTACACCAACGTTAGCATGTTAGCACCGAAGCTAGCTGACGGTTGTTGTCAGACTGGGCCGCTGAGTCTCCAAACTGTTAGCATGTAAACTGTTAGCATGTAAACTGTTAGCATGTAAACTGTTAGCATGTAAACAGTTAGCATGTAAACAGTTAGCATGTAAACTGTTAGCATGTAAACTGTTAGCATGTAAACAGTTAGCATGTAAACTGTTAGCATGTAAACTGTTAGCATGTAAACAGTTAGCATGTAAACTGTTAGCATGTAAACTGTTTACATGCTAACTGTTTACATGCTAACTGTTAGCATGTAAACAGTTAGCACACAGTGTATCTATGCCAGAGAGTAAATAAACAACAACAACAACAACATCCTCAGTGTGGACTTCAGTTAGCCGACGGTTGGTAGCCTGTGAATGCTACATGCTACCGTTAGCTCTGTTAGTGAAGTTAGTGTCTCTGTTTACTTTCAGGGTTCCTAAAGAAGGCGGGTTAACCAGTTATTATTATTATTATTATTATTATTAATAATAATAATTAAATGAACCAGATATCTAAGGTCTGAGTGTGCAGACATTTTCACTTTCACTTTGGATCATTCCCAGTTTGATTCCACAGTAAACAACAAAAACTAAACAATAAATGGACTTCAGTGTACACATTTATTATATTATATATGATATTATAACATTACAAACAACAACAATGAATACTACTACAGTACTGCTAATGATAGACCAATGAATCGCTCAGCTGATTCATCAGGGAGATTATGCTCACACATAATCAGAATCAACCGATGTCCTCAGACACGTCTGGGTGAGTAGAGAAAGTTAGTTTGGATTTCTCTACTTTAACTCTTCCATCCTGCTGGAAACATGTTCCTTTAATCTGCGGTAGAATAGAACAGTATTATATATAATTATAAGACTTATGCTCTGCAGATATCAGTGGATATAAAGTTCAGACTCACTGTTTGTGTTAGTGGCTGCAGTTCCTCTAACGTCCACCAGAGGCTCCAGCAGTGACTCTCCATATTCAACATGTTTACAGAGAGAATTTCACTGTTAATGACGTTTATTAACAATTAAATTAAGACTTAGTTATGCGTAAATAAGGGCGTGGCTACCTCGAGTGACAGGTGGGTGAAGTCACAGGCGGCTGTTTTCAGTAACCAGGCGTCATTTAGCTCCGCCTCTTTGACCATTGTTGGATTATGCTGCGATCCATTTGTCTCGTAAATCCCGCGGCCAAGTTGGAAAGTGTAAATCTCGCAGCTATCTCGTGACATTTCACAGAGACACGCCCCCTTTTGGTCGTAATTTCAGCCGTCCCACTCGGGGCTCCTCAGAGTGCACCGAGCTGGACGGGGGGGCACGTACGGCCCGCAAAACAGGAAGTTGCAAATAGAAAGCTCCCGAGGTCGTATGGACGACTCCTGAAGTCGTCTTAACTCAGAGGACCCCGAGTTGCTATGACAACAGTGCCGAGTCTTGAGCAGAAAGCAGAGCAGTAACGTTAACGTTAATCAGAACGGAGTATTCAGATATCAAACTGTGAGATATGATTGTGTGATAATGAACGTGTGAATAATCACTATCAACGTTACCAAACAAACAGACAGAACGCAAAGACCCGCGGTTACTCGTTTTCAAACACGGATGTGACGTCGCTCTCGAGCTGCAAGTCGCGATTACGAGACAAAACGAACACGGCAATAGCCGGGAGCCAAGATGGGGACGGCCAGATCCGACCAGACTGAGCGTCACATCTCAAACCTACAGTTACAGTGCTAGTAGTGCTAGCGGTCTGTAGCCTCTACAGTGCTAGCGGTCTGATGTGTGTGTGCTCAGCTGAGAGCGGAAAGTCGTCTTCAGTGTTTGAGAAATATTAGCTCAATAATTGATGAGATGAACACATTAATAATTGTATTGATTGCACAGACAGGGAACACAGATGGCAGCAACTTGACATAAACTCCAGTGACGTTTAATGAATGTATGAATGAATGTGTATATGAATGAATTAATGTATGAATGAATGAATTAATGTATGTATGAATGAATTAATGATCTTTATTGACATTGTGCAGCAGGGTAACACAGTTAAACAGGCAGTGTGGTCATATTACAGTCAGCTGACAGTCAGTGTCAGTATAAATCAATAAGCTGTATTGATTGTGCATTAGAGAGATCACCTCGGTTACTGTGTGAATGATTCATATATATATTATATGCAGGCGCGACCCCTCGCCTAAAACAAACACACTGTTTCCAACACGTGAGCACACGTCTGACAGTTGTTGGAGTTCATATGTGCACAGTTTAGCTGTTTTTATTCCCGTCAAGTTCCAGTGGAACTCTGGTGGAACTGCAACCAAAATTCGGTACAATGGGACTTAATAGAGAGAGGCCAGGCTCTCCGTACACGGGCTCTGGCGGAGCTGTCGCCATCTTCAATATGATGTTGTTCTTGCGTGCTGGTCGACAGTCGTCTACTAGAGTACTCGTAGGTGTGTGTTCTGCCCCCTTCAGGCCTGGAGGAGTTTTACCCCCGGTACCTTTGGCATCGGCTTGGTACCGAATCATCTGGTGACATCACTTCCTGCTGTCCTGAAGGTTTTTACAGAATCCTCAGACTCTGAGTCTGCTGTATGGATGGGGGGGTGTCTCAACTCAGGATAATAATGAATATTCTCACATGGTTTGACCTGAAGAAGCTGTCTAGCTCACTAACCTACAGACCCATATTGATAGTTTGAACCAGAGGTAGCCTGCGTCTTTCCAGTCAATCCAGAATCCTACCGCTGTCCCTGTGTCCGAAGGCTCAGTCTGCCCGTTGCATCCGACTGTACTGATGTAATAATGCAGGAGGAAGGAACTGAAGTTGAGCTAACGCTGACGTATCATCTGTCTCACAGGTTTTATTTGAACAGGAGGGAGTCTTCAGACATCCCAGCAGCGATGAAGACGGCATCGAGCATGATTTACTAATTTCAGGGTCACTTCGGATTGTTGACAAGGTAAAACACATGTTCACATGTCTCTGCTGTCTCTGTCTGCTGTTACTGCATCATAAAGGCTGCAACCAACAATGCTTGTCAAACCCATTCATGTTCCCAGAGTCCAAAGTGAAGTCTCCAGATCCATCCAAACCCAAAGATATTTACTTTACTGAAGACCAAGACAATCGAAAAGTTTCACCGGTCGTCTGTCAATAATCAATAATCAATAATCAGTGGCGTCATATCCCCTTTGTGTCTGCGTCAGCATTGTGGTTGTCTGCCAGAAGCTGTCACACACTGACTGTTTACCATCCACTGTTTAGATCTTGGTGCTTTTTAACTAGATTTGAACCGGATGAAGGATTTTAGTCATCGGACGTCTGGATCTTAAGTTATCAGAGAAACAAGCTGAGCTAACGTTAGCAGCAGCTGGGGAGAAGCAGTGATTGTTAAGGTGGAACTGCTTTATTCAGTGTGTTTAAGGTGGAACTGCTTTATTCAGTGTGTTTAGTGGTTTTAATCAGCGGGTCTGTTTGTGTTGGAGAGGAGGAGACCTCTGTGGATCATTGGGCTCCTGGTAGAAACCTCCTGAACCATGAACACTGAAGGAATCCTAACCGGGAGAAGCTGACTGCAATGACGCCAATGGTGGTGAAGACAACAACTCCCATGATCCCACGCTGCTTCACCACCTCATCACACTTCCTGTTTTCTTATTGTTTTAGTGGCAGAAATGGCAGATTGTACATTTAATTTTTGTATATTATTAGAATCATTAAGAGTTAATCAGCTGATTGTTTGTGCTCCCTGTGGCTGATATTAATGGCTCATAAAATGGTGTGTTGGGTTCCTGGTTGTATGAAATGACTGCTGATGTTTTGTGTCTGTCAGGATGCTGAAATCATTGTGGAGTACAGACCTCTGGAAGATACTGTCGACCCATCAAACATGCTGTGTGCTGGAAAGGTGTGTGTTAAACTAATGATTATATGTTATTAATGGGCTCATCTGCTAGAGATTAATCAGGGACAGAATGAGATAAATAACAATAACAATATATTATTATTATTATTTGTTCAACACATTTACTGACATTTAAATCTGATCATTTAACAGGATATAGCGGCTAGCTAACAGAGTGAACACTGGCTGTGTATTTACACTCTCTATATTGTGATCAATTTAACTTTTTCTGAGCGTTTAATTAATTTTACACTAGCCAACTAGTCTGAATTTATATTTCTATTTAATCAACAGTGAAAGTATAGTTCAGTATATAAGTTCAGTGGTAGCAGTTATCTTAAAGGCTACAGGGCGGCTGTGGCTCAGAGGCAGAGCGGGTCGTTCCTAGCCCTAACCCTAACCCTTCCTAATCGGAAGGTTGTGGGTTCGATCCCCGGTTCCTGGTACCACATGTCGAAGTATCCTTGAGCAAGATACTGAACCCTAAATTGCTCCTGATGCTGTACATCGGTGTGTGAATGTGTATGAATGTTAGTTTCTGTTCGATGGACTTTACCATCACTGAGTGAATGTGTGTGAAAGGGTGAATGTGAACTAGAAAGGAAACTATACAAGTACAGGTCCATTTACCATTTAAAGAGGTTGAGTACATTTCAGCTAATACAGGAAGTGTAACAGCGGCTTTGTGTTTCAGGACTCCAGTTCAGTCATGGAGTGGGATCAGTGCTCAGGTGAGAGGTCCCACCAGCTGTTAGAAACCCAGCAGAGTTACGAGACAGAGTGGGACATGGTCAACGCTGTGTCCTTTAAGAAGAAGACCTGTACTAATGGAGACAGTGAGTTCTCTTTTCTTTAAATATCTTTAACCAACTGTTAGCCCATACTAATCATTCACTCTACAGTCTCTGTTTCACTCTCAGTTCTTCATTTAATACTTTGACTGCATGTTCTAATTTAAAGGTGTCGACAGTAAAAGCTGAAGTGAAAGCTGTTGTTGATGTTGGAGGAAGTGAAAGTGTTATAGCCACCTGACAGACAAGTTTCACTGCATTCACAACTCATCAGTTAACTCTAACAATGCTGTTTAACACTGAGATCAGTAGACATTATCAGATCTGTTATATCTATATCTATTTATCCTCTGCTCAGGATGTGTGTGTGTTTAGTAATCCCTCCGTGTGGTCTTTCAGGCTCTCTCAACCACAGCCATGAGAGGAGCAGGTGGGCTCTGGCCTTCAGTGTCAGTGAGCTCAGGTCCATCACAGTGAAGGAAGAGGGTTGGACCTTTCTGACCTTCAGACTGAGGGAAACCTCCTCCTCCCTGCCTGCTCTGCACTTCCACCAGGGCGGCAGCACCGACTTCCTGGACAACCTGAGGAGGTTCGCTCTGCTCAGCGAGTGAGTACCCAACAGCACCACCACACAGATCAATATAACACTGATACCAATAACACTGATACCAATAACACTGATACCAATAACGCTGATATCAATAATACTGATACCAATAACACTGATACCAATAATGCTGATATCAATAATACTGATACCAATAACACTGATACCAATAATGCTGATATCAATAATACTGATACCAATAACACTGATACCAATAACGCTGATATCAATAATGCTGATATCAATAATACCGATACCAATAACACTGAAACCAATAACACTGTGAACACAGTGAAGTTGCAGTGAAGGTGCAGTGAAGTTATAGTGAAGGTTCAGTGAAGGTGCAGTAAAGGTGCAGTAAAGGTACAGTGAAGTTACAGTAAAGGTGCAGTAAAGGTACAGTAAAGTTACAGTAAAGGTGCAGTAAAGGTACAGTAAAGGTGCAGTAAAGGTACAGTGAAGTTATAGTGAAGGTTCAGTGAAGTTATAGTGAAGTTACAGTAAAGGTACAGGGAATACACAGTTGAAGCTCATATTAAAATAAAATCATATGAGCTGTTCAGACGAGTTATTTTTAAACTGTGATAAAGAGGAGCAGCAGAGTGATTCAGTTTGTCCTCAGTGGACAGATTACTGTCTCCCTCTATCTTTCCACTGATAGCTGTTATTAAAGTTCTTATCAAAGTCTTTCAGAATGAAACCGTCTGCATTAACGGATGTTTTCTGACTCAGAGCTTTAGCGTGACGTCTCCTGATGGCTGCAGGGAACAATGACAACTGAAGATCTTCTGGATTTTGTTCTGAAGGAGCCTGTTTTCACTGCTCACTCTAAAGCTTCAGCTGATAATTCACTACCAGAGACACCTTTTATGCTCCGATAGTATAAAATACACGTTACACACGCTTTAAAATGTCTTTTCCAAAACCCAGATATTCAGTTTACTGTGACTGCAGAGGGATGTTTTCTCAGAACGATGAGAGATCAGTTCATCCATCTTTGTGTTTCCAGGTCTCCAGATGATGATACGTGTCTGTTGGTCAGCTCACCAAACAAAGCTCTGTCTCAGTCCTTCGAGAACCTTCTGGACGACAACAACTTCGGCCTTGTGCAGGTAAGAAACTAAATCAGTCTGAAATGTCCTTTAAAGCTTCTCTATGTAACATTAAACTGTAGTTAACAGCGCCACCAGTGGCCGTTCAGTGAACTGCAGTCAGCTTCCTGATATTGAAAAATAAAAGGATTCACAATCCGACATGGAACCTTAAAGAAGATGTAGAACTGGTCACATTTTGAAAATATCTAGTGCCATTAAAATAAAGATTATGTCAATAATAATAATCCCAGAAGCAGCTTCAGATGTTTCTCAGTAAGTTTGAGTTGGATGTTAAGAAACCAGTTTGTTTCCAGCAGAAGTTCAGAAAGGATCCGTATGTCACCACGCTGGGCGGGTTCTCCAAAGTCACCAACTACATATACGATGCTTTCCGGGGCACAGAGGAGCAGCACCAGCGCCCCCCGGAGGAAGTGGCCGACGTTCTGGGTGAAGTCATCCCAGGTCTGGAGATCAACCAGCAGGAGGAGCCCGGCTTCGAGGTCATTACCAGGGTGAGAGGAGGCACACAGCATTCACTAATATATCGAATATATTCAGCTGCTCATCTCCTGCATTATCGTTCTCTGCAGCTAAACTTCAACAAGTCAACAAATAGTGGAAATAAATTGACTTCAGACAGAAAAGCCTTAAAGAAGAATCTAAATTGTTGGCAGTTAGTTTTCTGTCGATGGACTAATTGATGAATTGATCAGTCGTTGCAGGTCTACACAGTTTTATGAAGAGAAAACAAACAATAAGTCTTTGTGTAGACAGGAGACACACTGCACTAATGAACACAAACAGGATTGTTAGCATGTAGCATGTAGCAGCTCTGACTGTGTGAGCTCACCTGTCAGATCGACCTGGGAACGAGGCCTCAGGTGACGAGGAGGGAGCCGCTGTCAGCAGAGGACTGGAGCAAACACCAGGATCCAGAGGGGAGGATGACCAACATCACACACCTCAAACAAGTCATCTTTAAAGGGGTACGTTATTATTCTTCAGGAGGTGTGCGATTACCCAGCATGCTCTCTGCTCTCTCTCATCCTGTGTTCCTCCTGCAGGGACTCTGTCACGCTGTGAGGAAGGAAGCCTGGAAGTTTCTGTTGGGATATTTTCCCTGGGAGAGCACGCTGGAGGAGAGGAAGAGCCTGCAGAGAGCCAAAACGTACGACAGCTAACATCTGTTTACACATCTGTTCACACATCTGTTCACACATCTGTTTACACATCTGTTCACACATCTGTTCACACAGCTGTTCACACATCTGTTTACACATCTGTTCACACAGCTGTTTACACATCCGTTCAAACATATTAATCATATTTCAATAACACTTTTAATATCTATATTTTTATTTATTTAAATATATCTAAAGGTTCTAACAAAAGTGTAACATAAGTTAAAGGCCCGGTGTGAAGGATTCAGTTTAGTTTGCTAACAGGATCATTGGTATCAGTAGTTATTGTTTCTTTAATGTGTCTCACTGCTGAGGTATGAGTCCAAAATAATCAGATGTTTCTGTGATTTAATGTCAATAAACGGATCAATATAGGGATGGGGCCGATCCGATCCAGTATCGGTATCAGGACCGATACCAGCGTAATTCTCATATCGGAATTTCCCGATCCAACCTGCGCAGATTTCCGATATCCATGAGCCATGTCTGTGCTTTAACGTTGTCTGCTGAAATGACTCCACAGGTGATTCCTGCCGGCCAGTCTGCTAGCTGGCTGCAAACTGTGGAATGGATTTCCTGAACGGAGGCGCGGCTCAATGACACACAGAGTTATGAGACACGCCCCCGCTCAGGAAATCCATTCCCCAGTTTGCAGCCAGCTAGCAGGATAGCATTGAGCAGCATTGTGGCTAGCCAACATGTCCGCTGTGTGGAAATACTTTACACTGGAAACAGAGCAAGACAGCAAAATGCAATGTTTGCAAAGCCGTAATTCAGAGACGCGGAAGCTCCCTCGCGTTGTACAACACTACGAACGCAATCAAACATTTAAAAAAGCACCACACGAAACAGCACGAGGATTTTTTAGGCGAGCTGTCAGGAATCACTTCTGGAGTCATTCCAGAAACAAGGTAAACTCCAGGCAGACAACGTGTGTGTGTGTGTGTGTGTGTGTGTGTGTGTGTGTGTGTGTGTGTGTGTGTGTGGCGCACGTGTGTGCGCACGCGCATGCGTGCGCGTAAGATGTTTACAGTTATTGCACTTTTCTTATGTTTCAGATAATTTGCCATTTTAAAACCTTGATTTGTTGATGCTACAAGAGCCAGTGCTTGTGCTGTTCAGATGCACACTGTTTTATTGATAGTGTGTGTGTGTGTGTGTGTGTGTGTGTGTGTGTGTGTGTGTGTGTAAGATGTTTACACACTTTTCTTATATTTCAAGACTCAAATATTTGACATTTTGGGAATTTAATAAATATTGACATGACAATCAATTTGAAACCCTTACAGTTGCATATTTGTTTTCAGAATGGGATTTTTCCTGTTAACAGGATTTCCTGTTTTTCTGACTTCCTTTTCTGACCTTATACTTACCTCAAGTTTCCTTTTGGGACATACATGCATACATACGTATATCATACTTGCCTGTTGAGAGGAGTTTATTTCAGCCTCATATAAAATCAACAATAATGATAATAATAATATTAAAGCAAACAGAGCTCTGGTATCTGAATAGTATCGGTATTGGCCGATATCCAAATACAGGTATCGGGATCGGATCGGAAGTGAAAAAACGTGGATCGGTGCATCCCTAGATCAATATGATGCTGAAATAACGACATGATGATGTAAATATGTAATGTCTGTCTGCAAGACGACGATCAAACAACTCTTAAAATGCTGTTTGGTTGATGGGTTATGCTAACTTCGTTAGCATGGTGTGTCCTTTAAACATGTGCATGTGTAAAATGTGCATCAGACTGGAGATTGGAGATTTTATAGACAAAACTATTAATTGATCAGTTGATAATCAGGGCGGCCACTGGCTCTTAAAAAGTTTAAAATCCAATAATCTGAAGTTTTGACAGCTCCTAAAATTTGATTGTATTAATGAAGTTAAATTATTCACTTTTAAATGTGTTTTTGGGGAAAGTGTGTATTGATCACGCTGTAACAACTACAAACTGATTATACTGATTTTCATTCATATCCTTTGTTTTGTCAGTGTGGACAAAAAATGGGCCTAAAACATTCAGAATGTTTTTATGTCTTTGATTGAACCTGTTTAAACCTGCAGACAACAAACTGAATAAAATAATCAGCACATTGATTGGTAATGAAAGTAATTGTTAGTTGCAGCTCAGTTCATGTTGTTTGTTCTGATATTGATGTGAAGAGTTTTGTGTCTGACAGCGATGAATACTTCAGGATGAAGCTGCAGTGGAAGTCCGTCAGTGAGGAACAAGAGAGGAGAAACTCCAAACTGAGAGACTACAGGAGTCTGATCGGTGACATTTTATGTTATATATATATATAATATATAATATAATAATCACATGTCTGATCTGTGCTTTAATCAGCAGAAAGACAATTAAAATGATTGATTTGCTCTGTTTACAGAGAAAGACGTGAACAGAACTGACAGAACAAACAGGTTCTACGAAGGCATCGACAACCCGGGTCTGGTCCTCCTCCACGACATCCTCATGACCTACTGCATGTACGACTTCGACCTGGGTGAGACAGTTCATTAAATTATACCTTGTTTCAGAAAATCTCTTTTTAGAGTTAATAAAGATTCTACATGATCTCCTTTTTTAAGAGCATTCAATAAATGTGTTTATTCTCATTTTTAATTTGCACATAAAACTGCAACCATTTACAGCATACTGCTGATAATCAGCCTGTAGTGGAGACAAAATGTTAAAAATGATCCATATCAGCAGTTTGAATCCAACTAAAAGCTCCCTGCACCAAACTCCCTTTAAGAAATATCACATTTTAACAATTCCTAACTGTTCGTAACAACATGTAACTCTAGAAACACGAGCTAAAGGCCGTCATATGTCCACAGTCCGACTGTCAATACAGGATCAATATCCATAAAGATACAGTGTATACTGATCAATATCATCCATAAAGATACAGTGTATACTGATCAGTGTCATCCATAAAGATACAGTGTATACTGATCAATATCAGCCATATAGATACAGTGTATACTGATCAATATCGTCCATATAGATACAGTGTATACTGATCAATATCGTTGTCTCTTCAGGTTACGTTCAGGGGATGAGCGACCTGTTGTCACCAATTCTCTACGTGATGGAGAACGAAGTTGATGCTTTCTGGTGTTTTGTGTCGTTTATGGAGCAGATGGTGAGTAATTATGACTGCATCAGTATTTACTGTATGATACTGATATATATTATATATACTACTACTTATAATATAGAGCCTGTGTACATACTGTGTGTGTGTGTGTGTGTGTGTGTGTGTGTCCAGCACCATAACTTTGAGGAGCAGATGCAGGGGATGAAGACTCAGCTGATCCAGCTCAGTACTCTGCTCAGACTGCTGGATCTGGCCTTCTGGAACTACCTCGGTATGACCCACAAAGTGTGATAGATATTGATCTGTATTACCGACACGTTACTGATACGTCCTTACTTGCTATGTAGAAAGTCACACAACTGTTTGAAAACTCTAAGAGAGAAAGGGGAGGTTAGAAATGGGTCAAGAGTGGGATTTTTAAGAAGGGGTTTAATTACAGCTACTTTAAACGACTGTGTTACAAATCCTGACAATAAAGAAAGATTGATCATATCTAGTAAAGTCAACTAAGGGTAAGACTTCTTTAAGCAGCCTAGTTGGAATGGGGTCTAAGAGTCTGATTATATATATATCTGATTTACAGCTGATCAGATTCATGTGTTTGAAGAGACATCTTACGGTTACAAATTACATTAGAGCCTTTGAACAAACATCCTTTAAAGCTGTTCAGTTAATCAGTGTGACCACTTCAATATCTAAATCACACTTTATTTCATAAAGGTCTGATGTGACAAATAGATTATAGACGATATATCAGAATATATCAGTGTATCAGAATATATCACAGTATATCACAATATATCAGAATATATCACAGTATATCACAATATATCACAGTATATCAGAATATATCACATATCAGAATATATCACAGTATATCAGAATATATCACAATATATCAGAATATATCACAGTATATCACAATATATCACATATCAGAATATATCACATATCAGAATATATCACAGTATATCAGAATATATCACAATATATCAGAATATATCACAATATATCAGAATATATCACATATCAGAATATATCACATATCAGAATATATCACAGTATATCAGAATATATCAGAATATATCACAGTATATCAGAATATATCACATATCAGAATATATCACAGTATATCAGAATATATCACAGTATATCAGAATATATCACAATATATCACAATATATCACAATATATCACATATCAGAATATATCACAGTATATCACAGTATATCAGAATATATCACAACATATCATAATATATCAAAATATATCACATATCAGAATATATCACAACATATCATAATATATCAAAATATATCACATATCAGAATATATCACAACATATCACAATATATCACAGTATATAAGAATATATCACATATCAGAATATATCACAACATATCACAATATATCACAGTATATAAGAATATATCACATATCAGAATATATCACAGTATATCAGAATATATCACAAGTCTATCACAATATATCACAATATATCAGTCAGCCCTTCTAAAGGTCAAAGGTCATTGCTGTTTGTTGATCTCAGCTGTGTGTTTGTTTCACAGAGTCTCAGGATTCAGGATATCTGTATTTCTGTTTCCGCTGGTTGTTGATCAGATTCAAGCGGGAGCTCAGCTTCCAGGACGTCCTCCGACTGTGGGAGGTGAGTTTTCGATGAACCTTCTGAGCTTGCGTAGTTACCTCCTGTTATTATTCTACTGAAACGTCTTCAGTTAAGGATTTGATCTGGGTGTGCGTGTCCCCCTCAGGTGATGTGGACGGGTCTTCCCTGTCAGAACTTCCACCTGCTGGTTTGCTGTGCCATCCTGGACTCAGAGAAACAGAAAATCATGGAGGAGAACTACGGTTTCAATGAAATCCTCAAGGTGAGCTGAGCTCCCCACCTGTTAGCTTGTAGCTCGTTAGCATCCTGCTCAGCAGTGTGAGACCAGCAAGATCCTGAAGTGACAGAAATGATCAAATATGATCTGTATAATCAGCTCAGACCGTTTCCTCTGCAGTAACTGTGATGGACACTGAAGCTGCAGATATTAGACCAGAAGGAACTCGTGTTTAATTCTGTTAAATATTCTTAAATATCATCGAAATAATCTCCGATAATCAGAATTCAGTGACAGACTGTAATGGGCCTGAAACCTGTAAAAAAAAAAATGACCCAAATATAAGCAAGTTGTGTTCATTTCACACAATGAACAATAAAGTGTTTAAACTGTGACAGTGAAATCAGAATAAAGCTGAAGTGTGGTTTTGGTGTTTTATTGTTGCAGCACATTAATGAGCTTTCAATGAAACTGGACATTGAAGAAATCCTCCAGAAAGCAGAAGGCATCTGTCTGCAGATAAAGAGCTGTAAGGTACGTTCAGCAGTGGTTGAGGTCACATGATCTCACCAGTGTTCAGACCTCCACTGGGAGGAGACCACCTCCACTGGGAGGAGACCACCTCCACTGCGAGGAGACCACCTCCACTGCGAGTGTGACATCATGAGTCAGATTAAATGAACGTCATATACGTTGTTTTATGTTCTGCTATGTTGAACCGCCTTGTTTCTACAGTAGACCAGAACGGACTAATCAAACCTGGTTCCAGGGGTTTCCTCCTCTGGGGCTGGAACTGGAGAGTGAAGCGAGGGAGTTGTAATCTGACACTACACCACTAGGTGTCCCTGATTCATCCACTAACTGTCAGTAACTGATCTGTTTAAACCCCTCAGGATCTGCCTCAGTCCATCAGCGCCATCCTGGGCTTTGACACAGAGGTTTCTGGCTCCGCCCCCACGGACTATGAATCTGCTCCGGCTCTCAGACCCCCGCCGCGAGCAGACGCCTGCTCCAATGGACACTTGAGAGAAACCAGCTCTCACAACAGCTGCAAAGTTGCCTTCATATCGTAGTGAACAGCAGAGACTGACTCAGTGCGTCAGAGCACCACAGCGGTCGGCGTTTCACCACGTCGCCACGACAACAGAGAGGAAGAGGAGGAGGATGTAAAAAGGATTTAAGATTATTCAGAATCTTATTTTTGTAATTTCTTGTATCATATTGTCTCTTTGAGTCAGATAGTCATTCCTTCTCTCCTGATCATTTCCTAAAGCTCCATTCAGACAGCAGGAGGCGGAGTCTAAAGCCACCTCAGGGGGGCCTCAGGGGGGCCTCAGGGGGAATAAAAGTCCACATATCCAGTCAGAGAATAAACCCCACAGACTGTCTGATTGGAGCTTTAGAGGGGCGGGGCCTCGTCATGTGACCACGTCAGGTCCCACATGGTGATTTATTTTATTATTAATGAGATCAAACTATTAACTGATTAATAACCTCCTCCAGTATTAATCCTGATATCAGAGCAGAATAAAGGATGTTGATGGTGGAACATTGTGTTTTATACAGGACGTATTATTATTATTGACACAGTCTGGTTTCTGGGGTGGGAGTTAAACCAACGTTAGGATGGAGGAAAGGAAGTGAAAGCAGCAACAACAACAACAACAGGAAAATAAGGTGAAAGTAATAAGAATGACAAAAAAAAATAAATCAATGAATTATTCAACATGTTACAAACTGTCACTCATACAGTCAGATGGTAATAAGTTGGGATGTGACGCAATAATAAATAAATTATTTAATAACACCAGACTCCATTGATAAAAACACTGATTTAAGCTCTCTGGTCTGCTGCTGCCTCCATCATCGGTCTGTAATCCAGACCATCAGTCGGTCTGGTGGCTTTACAGAGAGCAAAGATGATAAAACAGTGTCAGTCCCGTCACAAAGAGGCAGCTGCTGATATTATAATTTAATTGATACATTATATATATAATAATAATATTATTATTATTATATGTATAATAAAGTACACTTTCTGATGAAAAAACTTTTAAATTAATTTAAAAAACTAGCAGTCATGCATAATTAGCATAATTATACTATGTTAAATAAAGAATATAATACTAAAATGACAGAATATCATCTGCATAAAGATAAAACTTTGGTTTTCCATAATCTATTAATTGTAAACATTTAAATGAAGCGCTGTATTGTTATTAATGTTGTATTATTGTGGATGTTTTCTGCTGAAAATCGTTTTCAAAGCAGGAACATTGAAGAAAGTTTGAGTTTGTGATCCAGCGTAGAAAATCAGTTCTTGTCCTCCATCTGCAGATCTTAAAGAATCATTCAGTTTATAATAACTCTTATTTTTACAGCGTTGGTCGTCACTTCTGATAATATTATAACAGAATGAGCTCATTCTCCAGACGCTCAGGTCGAAGGTCAAACGATGGAAAAATATGATGAGATCATCCATTTCTGAAGTGAGGAAGGTTACATCCTCCTCATCGTTCCACACAGCTGACAGGAAGTGACGACCAAAGCTACAAAAATAAAGGCCTGCCTTGTAATAAACTGTAATCTCTTTCCTGGTTGCTTTGTTGACACCTGTGGTTATTATGGTCAATAATAATAACTACAACCTTTGTCTGAGGTCTGTTTCCTGTGGCTATTTCACAATAAAAGCCAGTTGAAGTGATTAAATACAAAGCAGCCACAGCAGGAAATGTATTAGCATTAGCAGTGAGCTAATGATACACTGCCTGTATAGAGCTTTAATTCCTTATTAAAAGGTTTGATTAATTAACTTTAATTGAACTCCCAGTAAGAGAGCAAAAAGCTTTATTTCTAAAATGTTCCTTTAAACCCGACACAAGAAGCTTTATTAATCAACATCTGCTGTTCAGACGGCTTTATTAGAAAGACAGGGTTGACAGGAAATAATGTGATTATTGATAAAGGAAGCAGACACTGACTGTGCTGAAGCTTTAATGACTGCTTTGACTTTATTTTCTGTTTCTGCTGCAGGTTGAAACATTTGTGATTTCTGATCTTTTCATGTAATCGATTGAACACTTGGGGCAATAAAACAATTTCAGGAGCATTTTTAATTCTTTTAACAGCTTAAATTTCAATTCAATTCAATTTTATTTGTATAGCGCCAATTCATAACAGAAGTTATCTCAGGACACTTTTCAAATAGAGCAGGTCTAGACCAAACTCCTTATAACATTAAACTTAAATGTCTGTCTGTGATGTAAAAAGTGTCTAATGGTCACTTTCAGGAAACGGAAAACCCAACAGAACAATCCTATTGGCTGTTTATGGAAGGAACCAGGACGAAGCTAACGTCAGGCTTTAGCTCCTAGTTTTGGTTTTCACATTTCAGTCGGCTGTAGTGGAGCATTTAGCAGCTATAGAGAGATATTTCCCTCCAGAAACAGCTAAAAGAGAGAATATTAGACACAACCCCCAAATGAATGTAGCTCTGTGTAGCAAGTCTCGCTACTACTGAGGGTTCACTAAGCACACAATCCAATAACGGATGTCAATAAATATGACAACTTTATTCTTTTGTCAGCCGCACACACTATTATCACAAATCTCAGCCTTCTTCCAAAGGCCCATGAAGGTTTGCTCCGGTTGTGTCTTCTCTGTCATGTGTGTCGGCCCCCCAGGTCCAGCACACTACTGCCTTAAGAGAGGAGAGAGTGATTACTCCATGAGTACCAGCTGAGATAATTAACTCACCTGGCGCTGCTCTCACAAGCCTTCCCCACACCTCTCTCTCCTGCAGCTGATTGTAAACCACACCCACCTCCACATACACCCACCGCCCGACTTAGGCAGGGGAGCCGTTCATCCAAAGCATCAGTCTCCAGGATAAAAGGGAGAGAGAAGTTAGGTGTGTGAAGGAGAGGCTCCCCACAGAGGGTTTGTTTCACCCTCTCAAACACCAGCTGACACTGCTCCATCCTGGTCATGTCTGCAAAGTTGGGAATGAACCGCCAGTAATAACCTGCCAGCCCCAAGAACCGCCTCACCTCCTTTTTGGTCTTGGGCCGTGGGCTGGCTGCAATTGCTGCAGTCTTATCTATTTGAGGTGCGTACCTGCCCACTGCCCAAGTGGTACCCCAGATACCGTACCTCCCTCGGTCCAACTGCACACTTCTTCGGGTTGGCAGTTGACAGCCTGCCTCAGTGACTCGAGCACCGCTGCCACCCTCTGCATATGCTCCAGCCAGCTGTTACTATGGATGATTGGTACCTCAGGCCCTAAATCATCTCTCTCTTTCACCGTGGTCACCAGAGTCAGCAATAGACTCTGCATCTCTCCATGCTCTGAGGAGATTAAGGTGGTAAATCTGTGTTGCTCCTCCCCTGTCAGAACGCACAACCTCATAGTCGACATCACCCACTCGCCGTGTGACCACAAAGGGCCCTTGGGACGGCCGGTTGGTTAACCAACTGACATTCGGGACAAGAAGCACACCAGCGGCGTACCTCTCCCCGAATGCCAGGCCAATAGAATTGGGCCATTATCAGGTTTAGTGTTTTGTCATACCCCAGGTGCCCCACCATTGGGTTATAATGAGCCGCCTGGAATACAGTTTCCCGGCAGCTTTCCGGTACCAACAACTGGGTAGTTTCCTCTGCTGACTGAGTGTCACGACTCACTCTGTATAGCCTGTCCCTAACCAACGCGAAATGTGGATATGTCTGCGCTGTATCAGGGTGCACCAACTGACCAATTTTTTATCACTTGGTCAAAAAGGCAAAGAGTAGAGTATTGTCACGTGACTGCTCAAGTGGAAAATTTTCCATGGAGTGCAATCTTGGAACCTGTGGAGCCTCTGGCGGAGGCACCCCTGGTTCCCCCTCCCCCTCCCCCTCTGCAGTGTCGGACTACCTCACGTCACCACTGAGCACAGCGCACATATCCCATGTCCCTACTGTCTGGCTGCCCACACCTCCAACACTCCTGCCCCGATGCCTGAGGAACCCTCTGTGGGTCGAGAGCAGCGCCTGTAGTGGCTGGACCCTGAGATGGGGAGAAAACAGAGGGAAGGTTAGAGCGAGGCAAAGGGGAAGGTAGAGTGATTGTGTACTGATGTTGGGTAAGTGGGGGTGTGGGTTTCCAGCAGGGTGCCAGTATTGGTCGGGTGGGTGCAGAGGGTCGCCTCTCTGGAGCCTGGTCCCTACTATGGACAGCCAGATTTTTTTCTCCTCCCCTCTCCTCTTGTTTTTCTCCCCCTTTTCCTCCCCCCCTACAAGTAATTTCCCCATGGGGATTATTAAAGTATTTCTGATTCTGATTCTGATTCAGATGATCCTCCGCTAGGGTGATGGCGGCCTCTAAATTTGCTGGTCTATGACCTCACACCCACTCCAAGGTCCCAGTTGGGAGCCCCTCCATGAACTGCTCCAATACCACCTGCTCCAGCATCTGCCTCTCGCCGGCGGATTCCCCCGGCTGCAGCCACCTGGAAGCAGCGTCCTTCAGCTGCTGAGCGTGGACGACGGTTGGTGGGTCCCAGTGTGGTGTTCCGGAACGGACGACGGTGATCCTCGAGGGAGAAACCCATCCCATCCAGGATAGCTCTTCTGATGTTTTGGAATTCCCCCCGAGAAGAAGCTGGCAACCCGAGCGCCATAGTCTGGGCTTCCCCTGACAGTAGGGGAAGCAGGCGCACGGCCCACTCCGCTGCCGGCCAGCCACACGCCTTCGCCATTGCCTTAAACATCTCCATGAAGGTTTGGGGGTCAGTCGCTATTGTCATCTTGTGCATGGTGATATTGGAGAAGGAGGGGTGTGGAGCCCCCTGAAGCAGCTGGTTCTGCTTGCCCGCCTGGTTGTGGAGTGCCTGCAGATGCTGCCTGTTCACAGCCGCCTGCTCACAGTGCATTGCAACAACATCCCCTAGCATTTCTCCCAGCAATGCCACCAGCGGTGGAGCTTTTTTCTTTAAATTTTACTGAACCTCAATAGCAGGTGACTGCTAGTAAAACCGAAAAGTGTCAGAGTAAAATAGAGAATGTAATAGTCTGTGGACAGATTAGTTCACCACCAACGCTGCTGGTTTACCGGCTGTGAGAAATTAGCAAATGAAAGGCTCAAATATGTTTTATGGCTCTAAACCACACGTATAATAATGTAGCTCAGTGACGTCCCCCACAGGTTCCTGAAGAGACGATGCCAAGCTCAGTGTGGTCAGCTCTGGCAGTCGCCATCCTGGCAGCCCTGACTCCCAGCTAATATAAAAAAAGGGTGGAGCCGAGGCTGAATGAAGCCTGGTTACTGAAAACAGCCACTTGTGATGGCGCCCACCTGTCACTCAAAGCCGTCACACCCTTAATTATGTATAACTTTAAGCCTTAATATAATTGAAAGGGGTGAGTTGTATAGTTGTCCTCAACAGTGAAATTAGCTCAAGAGAGCAACAGTTTAATATGGAGACTGACTCACTGCTGGAGCCTTTGACAGTGAAGGTTGCTGACCTGTGCCGTAGATCATGCAAACCAAATTTCGTAAAAATCCATTAACTACTTACAAGATAACAAATAAACGTTTTGCCTTTGTGGTGCCCCCTAGTGGTAGAATATATAATCAATGTGTAGAGAAGCCCAGAGTTCTTGAAAAAGGGTTTTTCAGAAAAATTGGAGGTAGTGGACACCCATCGGCTCCCGGCTGTACCACACGTCGGAGGCCAGCGCGCGCTTCGGGTGGAGGTAGAAAAATTTGGCATCTGATGGACATTTGGAAATATATTTCTTGAAACTTGCCACCGGACACAGCGGATCCTCGGGCCTGGCAAACATAAACCCTCTTAGGTTTTCCTTTTCTGGGTCATTTGGGTCTTTGTGATTCTTAGTTTGTGGATTGTGCGCCAGGCTGACATATTCGACCCCATCCTCGTCTCTCTGGAGGATGAAAGATGCCATGGATAGCTCTCGGTTGCCCCCCCTGCCACGCCGAGCCTAACATAGTTGGATGTCGAACCAGACTTTTCTGACTTGGCCGACGGGCGTAGCAGGAGACAGTGCAGTGGAATTTCTAATAAGTTCAAGGTCCGACTCAGAGATACGGGGATGGTGGAGGCTGGCATCTTTACCCCTTTTCCTGTACCATTTAAGTACGGCTTTTAAAGTTTTCACTGACGCTAGCTTCATTAGCATTAGCAGTTAGCTATGGCTTCTCCCTCTCCCTCTCCTCTGTCCTGCTCAGTGTGCCAGATGTTTACTTATTCCTCTGCCTCCTTTATTGATAATGGTACCTGTATTAAATGTAGTTTATTTACTGCGCTGGAGGCGAGGCTTAGTAAGTTAGAGGAACGGCACCGCACCACAGAGATATCTTTAGCCACTATAGTTAGCCAGCCCCCAGTAGCCGGTGCGGTCTGACCGAAGGTAGCTTCTGCTAGCCGTCCTCTGGTAGTTCCTACGGTAGTTCCCGAGCAGCAGGGAAGACAGGGAGGCTGGCGACATTGAATCCTATTTAAAACTGCTGGCTAAAGATAAACGTAAATATAATAAGATTGTTATTCACATCGGCGGTAATGACACCCGATTACGCCAATCGGAGGTCACTAAGATTAATGTGGAGTCGGTGTGTAACTATGCCAAAACTATGTCGGACTCCGTAGTTTTCTCTGGACCCCTCCCCAATGTGACCAGTGATGACATGTATAGCCGCATGTCGTCATTCCACCGCTGGCTGTCGAGGTGGTGTCCAGCAAACGATGTGGGCTTCATTGATAACTGGAAGCCTTTTTGGGGAAAACCTGGTCTGATTAGGAGAGACGGCATCCATCCCACTTTGGATGGAGCGGCTCTCTTATCGAGAAATATGGCGAAGTTTATTTCTAAAACCTGACAGTCCAGAGTTAGGACCAGGAAGCAGAGCTGCTGTCTTACACACTTCTCTGCTCTTCCATTAGTACAGTCACCCACCCAAACCCCCATACAGACTTTGTCTGTCCCCCGACCACCTAAATTATTTAAAGAAATAAAAACAAGAGGAGTTCAACATAATAAAAATTCTAACTCCTCAGTAGCACAAAATAAGAGAATGAAATGTGGGCTGTTAAATATCAGGTCTCTGTCTTCAAAAGCTGTATTAGTGAATGAATTAATATCAGATTATGATATTGATTTACTTTGTCTTACTGAGACCTGGTTGTCCCACAAGGAGTATGTTAGCCTTTATTTAATTACTTTTGAATTCATACTATTAGATTATAAGCCATTAGGCAAAACTTCCTACAGCAGATGTCTATCTGACAGTGCTGTAGCTAAATTTAAGGAGGAGATTCCTTCAGTGTTTATTATTTAATTTGGCAAGATAATCTTAAAACTTATAGAAAGGCCCTCCGTAATGCCAGAGGAGCCTATTATTCAGCACTAATAGAAGATAATAAGAATAACCCTAGGTTCCTCTTCAGTACTGTAGCCAGGCTGACAGAGAGTCACAACTCTATTGAGCCACATATCCCCATAAACTTAAGTAGCAATGACTTCATGAGCTTCTTCTATAATAAAATTATTACTATTAGAGAGAAAATTAATCACCAACTGCCATCAACACTAAAGTAAACTCAGATATATATTTAGACTGTTTTTCTGCTATCGATCTTCATCAGTTAATTTCAATCATTTCTTCATCGAAGCCATCAACCTGTCTATTAGACCCGATCCCAACTAGGCTGCTTAAAGAAGTTGTTCCCTTAATTGGCACTTCTTTACTGGATATGATTAATCTTTCTTTATTATCAGGATATGTTCCACAGTCCTTTAAAGTAGCTGTAATTAAACCCCTTCTTAAAAAGCCCACTCTTGACCCAGGGGTTTTAGCCAACTATAGACCAATCTCTAACCTCCCCTTCCTCTCTAAGATTCTGGAGAAAGTAGTCGCCAAAGAGTTGTGTGACTTTCTACATAACAATAGTTTATTTGAAGATTTTCAGTCAGGTTAGTTAAATTAGTCAGTTAGAGTTCATCATAGCACAGAGACAGCTCTGGTTAAAGTTAATACTGACCTTCTGATTACTTCTGACAATGGACTTGTCTCTGTACTTGTATTATTAGATCTTAGTGCTGCATTTGACACCATTGACCATAATATTCTTTTACAGAGACTTGAGCATCATATTGGCATTAAAGGAACCGCACTAAGCTGGTTTAAGTCATATTTATCAGATCGTTCGCAGTTTGTACATGTTTACGATGAATCTTCAATAAATACTACAGTTAGTCATGGAGTTCCACAAGGTTCTGTACTTGGACCAATACTATTTACTTTATATATGCTCCCTTTAGGCAACATTATTAGGAATCACTCCATTAACTTTCACTGTTATGCAGATGATACGCAGTTATATCTATCGATCAAGCCCGATGAAATTAATCAATTATCTAAATTACACACATGTCTTAAGGACATAAAATCCTGGATGAGCTGCAATTTTCTGATGTTAAACTCAGAAAAAAACAAAATTCTTGTTCTTGGCCCCAAAAACTTTAGAGACTCACTGTCTAAAGATATAGTTACTCTAGATGGCATTAACTTGGCCTCTAGCACCACTGTCAGGAATCTTGGAGTTATCTTTGATCAGGATTTGTCATTTAACTCCCACATAAAGCAGACCTCTAGGACTGCCTTCTTTCATTTACGTAATATTACAAAAGTTAGACACATACTATCACAGACAGATGCAGAAAAACTAATCCATGCATTTGTTACTTCTAGGCTGGATTACTGCAACTCTTTATTATCAGGTTGCCCCAATAAGTCCATTAAAACGCTCCAATTAATTCAGAACGCTGCAGCACGAGTACTGACAGGAACTAGAAAAAGAGATCACATCTCTCCTGTACTAGCTTCTCTGCATTGGCTCCCTGTAAAATGTAGAATTGAATTTATATTCCTCCTCCTCACCTATAAAGCTCTTCAAGGTCAGGCCCCTTCATATCTTAAAGAGCTCATAGTACCCTATTACCCCTCTAGAACACTACGTTCTCTGAATGCTGGGCTACTTGTGGTTCCTATAGTCTCTAAAAGTAGAACAGGAGCCAGAGACTTCAGTTACCAAGCTCCTCTCCTGTGGAACCAGCTTCCAGTTGTGGTTCTGGAGGCAGACACCCTCACCACATTCAAGAGTAGGCTTAAGACATTCCTTTTTGATAAAGCTTATAGTTAGGGCTGGATCAGGTGAGTCCTGAACCATCCCTTAGTTATGCTGCTATAGGCCTAGACTATCGGGGGATTTCCCATGGTGCACTGAGCTCCTCTCTTCCTCTCTCTTTCTGCACTCATTCATGTTCCATTAATGCATGTTACTAACTGCACTTCTTCCCCCGGAGTTCTTGTGCTTTCTCGTCTCGCAGGTTCTTATCGATCCTGGTGGAGCCTCCTGCCATGGTCCTGCTAGATTGCCATTGCCAATACTGTTGTTGCTGTGCACCTGTCTGTCTGTCTGTCTCTCTGTCTCTCTCTCTCTCTCTCTCTCTCTCTCTCTCTCTCTCTCACCCCAACTGGTCGAGACAGACGACCACCCACCTAGAGCCGGAGGATCTGTCCTAGGTTTCTGCCTTTTAACAGGCAGTGTTTCCTTGCCCTTGTCTCCAAGGTCTAACTCATGGTGGTACTGTTGGGTCTCTGTAAATAATGTTATAAAGAGTTCGGTCTAGACCTGCTCTATTTGAAAAGTGTCCTGAGATAACTTCTGTTATGAATTGGCGCTATACAAATAAAATTGAAATAAATTGAATTGAATTGAATGGTTAATGGTTGAAGTTTTAAAAACACTTTTAATGGATAAAATGAGAAAGAAAACTGAGAATAAAAACAATTTTCCCTCCTGCACAGACAGCTGTGTGAGGATTCAGCTCTGTGGAGGTTATAACTTCAAAAAGATGATTTTATTTCATTTAAATTCATCCTCCGTTCATGAATCTCCGCAGAAATGTCAGAGCTGAAACTCCTCCAAATGTCACTTCAGCTTCTTTCATGTGTGTGATGGACGTCAGGACGCCTCCTCCCTCCTCCCCTGGTTGATGGGAGACATTTGGCATTGAAGACGGAGGAGACGGAGGAAGGTATCACCTGCAATCTGCTCATAAAGCTGCTTCAGACTGAGAACAAAGCAGTCGGAGCTTCTCCTGCCGTCTCACCGCTCTTTCATTTCCTGTGTGACAGGAAATTTGCTCAGCACACAGCTGATAGCATGCCGCCGCCGTCTGCCGCTATCGGGCCTCCATCTCTCCCTCCGTCTCTAATGGTTTTATTGAAGTGAGGACTGATGGCTGACTGTCATTCAGCGAGCTCCACCTGCTCACAGAGAGCTCAATGGAGTGAGACGACAACAGAATCACTGACGGCACAAATAACAGCATTGAATCAATAACCTACTATCATTAAACAGTGTATAAATTCTAGAGCTGTGTTCTATATGGAGCTGATTCAATCAATAATCTATAAGCATTAGGAGACCTATGAGTTGTCTTTTTGATATGGGTTACAATTATTAAGATATTATTTTACTGTGATTTATTATTAAGGGGAGTCGCGTACACTCAAAATCTCAAATATTGTACATCTCTCAAGTCTTCATTCAAATGTTACCACACAGATAATAAATATCACGTTTCATGTTCAGATCAGTCAAATGAGTCCACAGTGACTATAAATGTCTTACTGTAATTAGTTCTGTATGCACAATATTTTCTATTTCACCAAATGTTTGATCAGACATCAATAAAATGTTTGCCAACCAGCCCAATACCAGCAGAATGATGTGTGATTTCCTTCAGAACAATAACCGACCGCCGTGTGGTCATTTTATGTTTTTGCTAATAACTCATGATACATTTTTGTACAGTGGGTTCCTCGGCTGATGCTAATTTTACTAAAATAGGTCATGCCCATTCACGTGTTTAAAACATTCTGCCATTTTGGATTTTTTAAGTCAAGAAATGTTTTTGCTCAATGCGGTAGATACTGGGCAGTGGTCTGTACAGTCTATTTGATTCATATAATAGCAACAATAATAACATTATTAATATTAACTTTATAGTTTATAAGGTTTCTTGAAGTCCAATAATTTGACACTAATTGTCTTTCAGAGACAGTAAATAAAGATTTGAGTGAGTCCATTTGACAATAATAGCTAAGTTACAGAATACATTGCTGTAGATACAGGGCAGAGGTCAGTGCTATAGATACTGGATGAAGGATTTGAGTCATCAGACATCTGCTGAGCATTAGCAGCAGCTCGCAGCCCCTCCAGGACGTCCTTTTATCTGTCCAACAGTGTGGGAGAAACTGCGAATAATAATAATAATTAGCTATTATTACTGTTTTGTATAGAAGCTCATTTCTGCCTTAAATAATAAATAAAATGAAAACTTAATAATAGAAACTGTTCATGTTCTCTTTTATGAGATAAAAAGTCTAAACTCTTATCTCTTTCTTTATTTATCTATCTATTGTTTTTGATAATAAAAACCTTTCTTTGTTCAACCTGCAGAGGTGTGTTCAGACAGAGAGAGAGACTCTCTCTCTCTCTCTCTCTCTCTCTCTCTCTGTGTGTCAGTATTTAACTGGTGGGGGCCACCGGCAGTCTCAGTGTGAGTGTGAGCAGCAGCAGAGCGGCAGGCTGGAGCCCTGGTACTCGTATACCCACTGGTTCCCCATGGCTTCGGCCCATGTGATGAAGGACTCCCAGGAACCGATACCCAGGATGCAACCGGCCATGATGATGTTCTCCAGCAAGTACTGGGCCCGGAGGGGGATGTCGCTGGACTCGGCCATGTTCGACCACCAGCAGCAGCGCCACACAGGGGGGCAGATGGTAAGACTCATCTTCATCATCCTCCTCTTAGACCCAGCATGTACTCACAGTACTTATACTGCTGGTGCTGTTAGTACTTTGATACACTTTCACTAATTATTTGTTGACTGAAGGATTAATTAATTAATAATCAGGTTCAGGTTTCTGTGTTTGTTGCTGTAAATGTTCCTCTTGACAAAATGTATTTAACTTTTATTTACACAGAATCAATCAGAAATTAAATAATAAAATAAAATAATCAATAAATAACCAGTGGAGTAATAAAATCCAGTAAATAAAACCTCTGGGACTGTAAACAGGGCGGCTGAGTCTCAGGAGCTAGAGCGGGTTCTCTACCAATCAGAAGGTAACGTTAGCTCTCTGATCGAAGGAACTAGAAATATTTACCGTAGCCAAGTTGTATCTAAGGTTCGTTCTATCTACTGGAGCAGTGAACAACGTTTCCATTTCATTAGAACATTATGGGGTGGTGATGATTTCCAGGTATTAGTCAGACCCTCAATGGACATTATGAAAGCAACCTGGTTCTGGCCTCCACATCGCCCATTAATTACTGATAATGGACACCTCATTGGACATTATCACTTTCACATTACGATATACTTGCAGCTGTTTTTAAGTGTGTACATACAGGTAGGTATACATTGTCACTGGGTCCCCCTGCTAACATATAGGATAAATCAATAAAGAAAAAACTAATACAAAGAAATAAAACTAATGTAACATAAAACAGTGGTTTTCAAACTGGGGTCCTTGATCAGGTTGTAGGGGTCCTTAGAAAAAGGAGGAATCGAATATTTTCATCACATTTTCTGGAAGTTGGAACAAATGTATTTGGCCGTTTTAACTGGTTGTAATTTGATTATTGATTGACTTGAAGACTTTACTATCTTCATACATAAATATAGCCTAAAAAACGATTTGGAGGAAATTCATTAGGACAAAATCCTCTTAAATTGGAGTCACTGACGTACAAGATCCAACTTTCCCATATTTTATAAAATGTGTTGATATTTAAATTCCTGTTGTTAAATTTATGTTTTACAGCATAAATGGACCACAAACACTCGACTGTGTCCGTTCCTGTCTGCTGAATAATAAATAAACAATAAATAGTTATAACAGTACAGAAGATAAGTGACTGTTGTTGTTGAGGGAACATCGTCTGCTGTCAGTGAACAAACAGTGTATCAGTAACAGCTAACAGACAGAAAAGAGGAAGCAGGTTAATGTTCTCAGGCTGTGAAGAGGAAATTTAACACCGTCAACAAGAGATAACAGCAGCTCCTACAGCTGCCTGATTGATGGTACAGCTTATCCATACATCAGCTGTTTGTCTTTATTAAACATCACAACACCACAGAAGAAGACACCCCGCTGTTGGAGCTGACCTCGCAGTGGATACTTCCTGTTTCTGATCCAAAATGTAACGAGTTTATCTTTGACCTTGCTTATACCCTCCCACCGAGTCTCATCAATATCCAGACAGAAGCGTTTCTGTAATTCTGCTGACAAACAAACAAACAAACAAACAAACAGCACTGAAAACATAAGCTTGCTGGTGGAGGTCAGAACTTATTTTAAGGCAGTAATTATTCAAAGGGTGAGCTGATACCAGTGGAAATAATCAATCAATGAATCCTAATAACAAATACTGATTTACATAAAACAATAACAAATCAACAAGACATAAGATATCAACACATAATTATTTATTAACGATTGTATTTATGTTTTTAAACCATGTTGTTGATGTTTGTTGTTGTCGCTGCTGTTTGTCAACAGTATTTTTATTAGAAGTTCATTGTTTATGAAGGAGATGACTGTGTCACAACAGGGAGTGGTTTATTCTGTTTACTGCGTGTCTGTGTTGATGTTGTTGTCATTGATGTGATTGATCTGAATGTTTTTGTTTTTATTGATGTTTTTTGGTGTCAATGTTGTTTTTGTTGGATTTTTGTGTTATTTGGGATTTTTTAGAAAATATATTTTTTGCTTCTTTTGGCACATATTTCATATAATCTTTATCAAAATTGGTACATAGCATATTTAGCTGAAGCTGTAAAAAAGACTTGTAGGTTTGTGTTCGGGTATTACTTTACCATTTATCATTTGTAATTGGTTACGGAAATTTTGAAGGTGTGGCCCAATGCACTTAATGGGCCTTAACTCTACAATGCTGAATTGGATTTCGACCAAATTTGTGAATGTTGTCCATAAAGCCACATTGCATGTGTACAATTCATTTCAGTTCAACATTTTATATAATTCTACAGACAACAGCTGCACAATAATACTTAGTTACAGAGGACAGGACAGATATAGGACAGAGGTCAGTGCTACATACAGGTCAGTGTACTGTTTATTTGATTCAAATAATGGTAAAAATAATGATATTATTGTTACATAGGTCAATGCAGTATAAATAGGGCATAGGTTAGTGCTGTAGATACAGGGCAGAGGTCTATACTGTCCATTTGATACTACTAACAATAATGATATTAATATTAACTTATGATTTTTATTGTTATTGTCTTTCAGACACAGTTAATAAAGATTTGATTGGTTCCTTTTGACAATAATACCTAAGTTACAGAAGACAGGACAAAATACAGGCCAGAAATCAGTGCTATAGATACAGGGCAGAGGTATACTTGAATTCAAATTGATTCATACAATTTAATTTTTAATATTAACTTTGTTTTATAAGTTTTAGTGAAGTCCAATAATTTGACAACATATCTTCAGTCTTTATTTTGCTTATTTATTTTTTTCTTCTGTACATTTTCTGGACACAGTATTAAATTACTGGCTGGTATTTTCAGATGTGAATCGTAAACACTGGGACTCTTCCAGAAGCTTGTTGTTGTCATTGATGTTGTTGTTGTTGTTAATGCTGTTGATGTTGATATCTCTGTTGTTGTTGTTGTTGTTGTCTTTCAGTCGAGGCGTCCGTCCTTCTGTCCCATCAACGAGACTCCAGACAAGGAGAGTGCTGAGGATTGTGGGAAAACAGCGGTGGTGTTTTCTCTGAAGAACGAGGTTGGCTATTTGGTCAAAGCTCTCAGACTCTTCCAGGTGAGACGATCAATTTGTTTCCTGTTTCACTGATTATTGATTATTGATTACAGTCACATTAGGAGTTTGACTTTCTTTTACTTCTTCTCCTCCTCCTCCTCCCAACCTGCAGGAGAAGCGAGTGAACTTGAGGCACATCGAGTCTCGGGTGTCGAGGCGAGTGGTTAACGAGGTGGAGATCTTTGCTGACTGCAGCTGCAGTAAGAAGGAGTTTAATGAGCTCCTGCAGCATCTCAAAGATCACGTCAACATCATCTCCTTCAACACGCCCGCACACGTCTGGTCTGCTGAGGCAGGTACGAATAACACCTGAGAGTGAATGATCCCAATATATCTGAGCTCCAAATATAAATACAATAATAATCATATTGATTTTCAAATTGCTTCATCAGTTGTTGTTATTTGTGGTCTTTTGTTCAATCAGATGGAGACGACGTTCCGTGGTTCCCGATGAAAATCTCTGAGTTAGATCAGTGTTCTCACCGAGTGCTGATGTACGGTTCAGAGCTGGACGCAGACCATCCTGTAAGTCTCATGTTGGACAGGTTTTTTTTTTTTTTACACCTATAACCCTTATGCCTTTTTCTTATTTGACACACACACACACACACACACACACACACAACACTCACACACAAAGAAAAACCTCTTGGGGCCCCCTGGTAGTCACATGGCTCCATAATATAATTGGCCTACAATGGGAAAAAGGTTGAATCTGGTGGAATACAGTAATAATACTATAAAACTACTTTTCTTCAAAATGAAATGCTGACATTACAGAATGCATGGTTTTATACTGTAATGGCAGTGAGATTAAAAAATGTAGTTTTAATGGAAATGAAAGAGGCATTTTTAGCCACGAAGGTGTCCAGAGGGTGGTAAATTTGAGGAGGGCACAGGGGTTAAAGGTTAAACGTTTTGCATTTTATAAGTAAATTTCAGCTGGATCTGATCATCCTGCTAGGAGTAGAACATGAAAGTATAAAACGTGATACTTCCTGTTGCCACTAGGTGGCGCTCTAACTATTACTGAATATTATTACATAGACATGTTCAGGGCGGGACTCTTATCGAACATGTGAAGTTTCGTTGCAGTCGGATCATGTACGCAGACGTTATGACGAATCCCTCTTTCATGGCGAAGGTTTGAAATTGGATGCCACGGGACGCCACGCCACGGGCACAATGTTGGACGAAACAAACTGACTGCACTGACCATGTTTGAAGTAGATCCAATAGAACCTGTAGGAGGAGTTAGTTAAAATAGAAGCCCTGAAATGCCAAAAATGACATCACAGTGTGACATTCGTTCAAAATGGCCAACTTTGACGGCACGCCATGGACACGCCCTTCAACGATCCGATAAATTCCCTAGGAGGAGTTCGTTCAAATACAAGCCCAAAAAGTCAAAATGACCACAAAATGATGAAAATTAAAAATTGAAATTGCAGACTTCCTGTGGGTTTTGGGGCATGGGTCCAAGAGGCTTTTCTGCTTCTTTTATCATGATACACATGCGTAGCAATTTTCGTACATGTGGGCCTTACGTGTCTTGGGGGCTGATTCTGGGGGGCGTGGCTTAGACGTTTGGCGGCGCCCGTGCACGGGCACAATGTCATATCGGTATTTTAGCTACGTTTTAATTTTGTGCAAATTTTCATGGCATTTTGAGCATGTTGCGGGGGCCAAATATGCGGTCGAAGTCCCAGAGGTATAATAATAATTCCTAGAGGAACAATAGGGTCCTTGCACTTGTTAGTGCTCGGTCCCTAACAATATCAGTGATATTAGCAATGGCAATCAAGGAGGACCATGGCAGGAGGCTCCACCAGGATCCATGAGAACCTGTGAGACCAGAAAGCACAAGAACTCCGGGGAAGAAGTGAAGTCAGTAACATGTATTAATGGGACATGAATGAGTGCAGAAAGAGAGAGAGAGGAAGAGAGGAGCTCAGTGCACCATGGGAAATCCCCCGATAGTCTAGGCCTATAGCAGCATAACTAAGGGATGGTTCAGGACTCACCTGATCCAGCCATAACTATAAGCTTTATCAAAGAGGAATGTCTTAAGCCTACTCTTGAATGTGGTGAGGGTGTCTGCCTCCCGAACCACAACTGGAAGCTGGTTCCACAGGAGAGGAGCTTGGTAACTGAAGGCTCTGGCTCCTGTTCTACTTTTAGAGACTATAGGAACCACAAGTAGCCCAGCATTCAGAGAACGTAGTGTTCTAGAGGGGTAATAGGGTACTATGAGCTCTTTAAGATATGAAGGGGCCTGACCATGAAGAGCTTTGTAGGTGAGGAGGAGGATTTTAAATTCTATTCTACATTTTACAGGGAGCCAATGCAGAGAAGCTAGTACAGGAGAGATGTGATCTCTTTTTCTAGTTCCTGTCAGTACTCGTGCTGCAGCGTTCTGAATTAATTGGAGCGTTTTAATGGACTTATTGGGGCAACCTGATAATAAAGAGTTGCAGTAATCCAGCCTAGAAGTAACAAATACATGGATTAGTTTTTCTGCATCTGTCTGTGATAGTATGTGTCTAATTTTTGTAATATTACGTAAATGAAAGAAGGCAGTCCTAGAGGTCTGCTTTATGTGGAAGTTAAATGACAAATCCTGATCAAAGATAACTCCAAGATTCCTGAAAGTAGTGCTAGAGGCTAAGGTAATGCCATCTAGAGTAACTATATCTTTAGACAGTGAGTCTCTAAGGTTTTTGGGGCCAAGAACAAGAATTTGTTTTTTTCCTGAGTTTAACATCAGAAAATTGCAGCTCATCCAGGATTTGTTTGTAATTTAGATAATTGATTAATTTCATCGGGCTTGATCGATAGATATAACTGCGTATCATCTGCATAGCAATGAAAGTTAATGGAGTGAATCCTAATAATGTTGCCTAAAGGGAGCATATATAAAGTAAATAATAATAAGTGGATGGCAAGGGAAGTTTACAAAAACGGACGTCAGTTCCAGACTGTGGATGCCCTTCGTGAAGCCATCTTCACCACATGAACCAACTTTCCCACCATCCTCCAGGATTACTCGCATCAAGCATGTCTAAACTAATTTTTTTAGTGATCAACAACAATGGTGGGGCTACTCACTACGGACTCCTTTTTTGACAAGTTTAGTTCTGTTTTTGGGTTTTCTTGGGCTATGGTCTTAAACTTTAGATCAGCTGATGAACAGCCTGTTTGAGTTTAAATGCAGTTTTCAATAAATTTCTTACTCTGTTGTTTTGTCTCTTGCTCCTGTTAATTCTTTTTGCATTTTGAAGCTCTACTTACAACCTGGTTACGTTCAACCAGCGCAAAATGCAAATATTTGTAATTATTCCTCTGGTCTTAAGATTTTGTTCAGGAGTGTTTTCTGTAAAAATATTCAAATTTTATATTCTTATATAATATATATAATATAATATTCTTTTACAGAGACTTGAGCATCAAATTGGCATTAAAGGAACTGCCCTAAGCTGGTTTAAGTCATACTTATCAGATCGTTCTCAGTTTGTACATGTTAATGATGAATCCTCCATAAATACTAAAGTTAGTCATGGAGTTCCACAAGGTTCTGTACTTGGACCAATACTATTTACTTTATATATGCTCCCTTTAGGCAACATTATTAGGAATCACTCCATTAACTTTCACTGTTATGCAGATGATACGCAGTTATATCTATCAATCAAACCCAATGAAATTAATCAATTATCTAAATTACAAACATGTCTTAAGGACATAAAATCCTGGATGACCTGCAATTTTCTGATGTTAAACTCAGAAAAAAACGAAATTCTTGTTCTTGGCCCCAAAACCTTAGAGACTCATTGTCTAAAGATATAGTCACTCTAGATGGCATTAACTTGGCCTCTAGCACCACTGTCAGGAATCTTGGAGTTATCTTTGATCAGGATTTGTCATTTAACTCCCACATAAAGCAGACCTCTAGGACTGCCTTCTTTCATTTACGTAATATTAGAAAAATTAGACACATACTATCACAGACAGATGCAGAAAAACTAATCCATGCATTTGTTACTTCAAGGCTGGATTACTGCAACTCTTTATTATCAGGTTGCCCCAATAAGTCCATTAAAACGCTCCAATTAATTCAGAACGCTGCAGCACGAGTACTGACAGGAACTAGACAAAGAGATCACATCTCTCCTGTACTAGCTACTCTGCATTGGCTCCCTATAAAATGTAGAATTGAATTTAAAATCCTCCTCCTCACCTATAAAGCTCTTCATGGTCAGGCCCCTTCATATCTTAAAGAGCTCATAGTACCCTATTACCCCACTAGAACACTACGTTCTCTGAATGCTGGGCTACTTGTGGTTCCTATAGTCTCTAAAAGTAGAACAGGAGCCAGAGCCTTCAGTTACCAAGCTCCTCTCCTGTGGAATCAGCTTCCAGTTGTGGTTCGGGAGGCAGACACCCTCTCCACATTCAAGAGTAGGCTTAAGACATTCCTCTTTGATAAAGCTTATAGTTAGGGCTGGATCAGGTGAGTCCTGAACCATCCCTTAGTTATGCTGCTATAGGCCTAGACTATCGGGGGATTTCCCATGGTGCACTGAGCTACTCTCTTCCTCTCTCTTTCTGCACTCATTCATGTCCCTTTAATGCATGTTACTAACTCCACTTCTTCCCCGGAGTTCTTGTGCTTTCTCGTCTCGCAGGTTCTCATGGATCCTGGTGGAGCCTCCTGCCATGGTCCTGCTTGACTGCCATTGCCAATACTGTTGTTGCTGTGCACCTGTCTGTCTGTCTGTCTCTCGCTCTCTCTCTCTCTCTCTCTCTCTCTCTCTCCCCAACTGGTCGAGACAGACGACCACCCACCTAGAGCCGGAGGATCTGTCCTAGGTTTCTGCCTTTTAACAGGCAGTTTTTCCTTGCCCTTGTCGCCAAGTGCTTGCTCATGGTGGTACTGTTGGGTCTCTGTAATTAATGTTAAAGAGTTCGGTCTAGACCTGCTCTGTTTGAAAAGTGTCCTGAGATAACTTCTGTTATGAATTGGCGCTATACAAATAAAATTGAATTGAATTGAATTGAAATTTAAATATACAGAGTCTAAATAGGTGAAATCAACCTCTAAAATATTATAAAATCAGTTTTTAACTGCAGGATGTAAAATCATTCCAGGTTATTAAAACCAAACAATATTAATCCTTAATATCAGCTTTTATTTAAATGTTGTAACAGGAAATACTTTAAGTTTGAAATCATCACTTCTTCTTCTTCCAGTCATTCTGATGTGAATCACTTCCTGAGATTGTTTTATATGTGAATATATTTCAATTACTTTTATTTCTTCTTCCTTCCTGTCAGGGTTTTAAAGATGATGTTTATCGTCAGAGGAGGAAATACTTTGTGGAAGTGGCCATGAATTATAAATTGTAAGTATTATTCAATCTGTTGAATTTCATAATGAAACACAAATAAAGGGCCGTGCCACTGATATTCTGTCTCCTCCCCAGCGGGCAGCCCATCCCTCGTATCGAGTACACCCCGGAGGAGATAAGGACGTGGGGGGTGGTCTTCAGAGAGCTGACCAGACTGTATCCGACTCACGCCTGCAGAGAATACCTGAAGAACCTGCCGCTGCTGAGCAAACACTGCGGCTACAGAGAGGACAACATCCCCCAGCTGGAGGACGTCTCGCTGTTCCTCAGAGGTTGAATACTCAGGGACAGCAGGGGATTATGTTCCATTAAAATAATGATTTGAAAATTAATGTGCAGACACATGAGCAGAACTTCAGACATACACAAGGTATTTCCCTTAAAGCGTCTATGTAATTTATAGGGAACCATTGTTTATAGCGCCACCAGTGGCCGTTCAGTGAACTGCAGTCAGCGTCCAGCCAACAGTAACAAACACTACACTGAACTCTGTAGTACTGTGTTCAAGAGATAACGGTATGGAAGAAGAAAAAGAATAATACGCAAAATAAAGACTGAAAATAACAATGTGTGATTGCAGCAATCAGATAATTTGTGTCAAATTATGTGTTAATATTAATAATATCATTATTATTACAGTACAGACCTCTGCCCTGTATCTACAGCACCAACCACAGACACTGTAAAATAACTGACAATCACGTTTAGAATAACATTACGTTAACGTTAATAACATTATCTGCAATGTTCCTATATTTTATCTGGACCGTTAGCTCCATGCTACTAATTAGCTCACCGTTTACAAATCACCCATCAGCCAACACCATGAAGCAAACAACGCCAGACCCTCACCAGTGGCAAGGACAAGGGCAAGGAAAAACTGCCTGTTAAAAGGCAGAAACCTAGGACAGATCCTTCGGCTCTAGGTGGGTGGTCGTCTGTCTCGACCAGTTGGGGTGAGAGAGAGAGAGAGAGAGACAGACAGACAGAGACAGACAGACAGGTGCACAGCAACTACAGTATTGGTAATGGCAATCTAGCAGGACCATGGCAGGAGGCTCCACCAGGATCGACAAGAACCTGCGAGACGAGAAAGCACAAGAACTCCGGGGAAGAAGTGAAGTTAGTAACATGCATTAATGGAACATGAATGAGTGCAGAAAGAGAGAGGAAGAGAGGAGCTCAGTGCACCATGGGAAATCCCTGATAGTCTAGGCCTATAGCAACATAACTAAGGGATGGTTCAGGACTCACCTGATCCAGCCCTAACTATAAGCTTTATCAAAGAGGAATGTCTTAAGCCTACTCTTGAATGTGGAGAGGGTGTCTGCCTCCCGAACCACAACTGGAAGCTTGTTCCACAGGAGAGGAGCTTGGTAACTGAAGGCTCTGGCTCCTGTTCTACTTTTAGAGACTATAGGAACCACAAGTAGCCCAGCATTCAGAGAACATAGTGTTCTAGAGGGGTAATAGGGTACTATGAGCTCTTTAAGATATGAAGGGGCCTGACCATGAAGAGCTTTATAGGTGAGGAGGAGAATTTTAAATTCTATTCTAAACTTTACAGGGAGCCAGTGTAGAGAAGCTAGTACAGGAGAGATGTGATCTCTTTTTCTAGTTCCTGTCAGTACACGTGCTGCAGCGTTTTGAATTAATTGGAGCATTTTAATGGACTTATTGGGGCAACCTGATAATAAAGAGTTGCAGTAATCCAGCCTAGAAGTAACAAATGCATGGATTAGTTTTTCTGCATCTGTCTGTGATAGGATGTGTCTAATTTTTGTAATATTATGTAAATGAAAGAAGGCATATCCAGTAAAGAAGTGCCAATTAAGGGTACGACTTCTTTAAGTAGCCTAGTTGGGATCGGGTCCAACAGACAGGTTGATGGCTTCGATGTAGAAATTATTGAAGTTAACTGATGAAGATTGATAGCAGAAAAATAGTCTAAATATACAGTGGGTACGGAAAGTATTCAGACCCCTTTAAATTTTTCACTCTTTGTTTCATTGCAGCCATTTGCTAAAATCAAAAAAGTTCATTTTATTTCTCATTAATGTACACTCAGCACCCCATCTTGACAGAATTTATTAAAAAAGAAAAACTGAAATATCACATGGTCATAAGTATTCAGACCCTTTGCTCAGTATTGAGTAGAAGCACCCTTTTGAGCTACTACAGCCATGAGTCTTCTTGGGAATGATGCAACAAGTTTTTCACACCTGGATTTGGGGATCCTCTGCCATTCTTCCTTGCAGATCCTCTCCAGTTCTGTCAGGTTGGATGGTGAACGTTGGTGGACAGTCATTTTCAGATCTCTCCAGAGATGCTCAATTGGGTTAAGGTCAGGGCTCTGGCTGGGCCAGTCAAGAATGGTCACAGAGTTGTTCCGAAGCCACTCCTTTGTTATTTTAGCTGTGTGCTTAGGGTTATTGTCTTGTTGGAAGGTGAACCTTCGGCCCAGTCTGAGGTCCTGAGCACTCTGGAAGAGGTTTTCTTCCAGGATATCTCTGTACTTGGCCGCATTCATCTTTCCTTCAATTGCAACCAGTCGTCCTGTCCCTGCAGCTGAAAAACATCCCCATAGCATGATGCTGCCACCACCATGTTTCACTGTTGGGATTGTATTGGGCAGGTGATGAGCAGTGCCTGGTTTTCTCCACACATACCGCTTAGAATTAACGCCAAAAAGTTCAATCTTGGTCTCATCAGACCAGAGAATCTTATTTCTCATAGTCTGGGAGTCCTTCATGTGTGTTTTGGCAAACTCTATGCAGGCTTTCATATGTCTTGCACTGAGGAGAGGCTTCCGTCGGGCCACTCTGCCATAAAGCCCCGACTGGTGCAGGGCTGCAGTGATAGTTGACTTTGTGGAACTTTCTCCCATCTCCCTACTGCATCTCTGGAGCTCAGCCACAGTGATCTTTGGATTCTTCTTTACCTCTCTCACCAAGGCTCTTCTCCCACGATTGCTCAGTTTGGCTGGACGGCCAGGTCTAGGAAGAGTTCTGGTCGTCCCAAACTTCTTCCATTTAAGGATTATGGAGGCCACTGTGCTCTTAGGAACCTTGAGTGCTGCAGAAATTCTTTTGTAACCTTGGCCAGATCTGTGCATGCCACAATTATGTCTCTGAGCTCCTTGGGCAGTTCCTTCGACCTCATGATTCTCATTTGCTCTGACATGCACTGTGAGCTGTAAGGTCTTATATAGACAGGTGTGTGCCTTTCCTAATCAAGTCCAATCAGTTTAATTAAACACAGCTAGACTCCAATGAAGGAGCAGGACCATCTCAAGGAGGATCAGAAGAAATGGACAGCATGTGAGTTAAATATGAGTGTCACAGCAAAGGGTCTGAATACTTATGACCATGTGATATTTCAGTTTTTCTTTTTTAATAAATTTGTTTTTTTCTGTCAAGATGGGGTGCTGAGTGTACATTAATGAGAAATAAAATGAACTTTTTGGATTTTAGCAAATGGCTGCAATGAAACAAAGAGTGAAATTTTTAAAGGGGTCTGAATACTTTCCGTACCCACTGTATATCTAAGTTTACATTCAGAATATTATTGGCATCCATTTCGGCGTCTTGCGCTTGCCATCCACTCAAAACGTGACGTCTACTACTCTTAAACAAGTGTGTGCGTCGTGCCTGTTGTTTTGTTTCCGGTCTAGCTAGTTAGTTAGTTTTTCTAACGTTACTAGTTGTTGCAACAGCATGTGGAAAAAAAACAAACTACAAAGTTAAAGAACGTTAATCTCGCGATAAAAAAATTGACGCCGTTAAAATGGGTTTGCGTTAACGTCGTTAATAACGCGTTTAACTCACAGCGCTAATTTTAAGGTATCTGATCAGTTGACCTGTGTGTTTCAGAGAGGTCTGGTTTCACCGTTCGACCAGTCGCAGGTTATTTGTCTCCCAGAGACTTCCTGGCTGGTTTGGCCTATAGAGTGTTTAACTGCACTCAGTATGTTCGCCACAGCACCGACCCGCTCTACACTCCTGAACCGTAAGTACAAAACTAACAGTCTGATCTGACCATAGAGATCACAACCAGAGTGAGTTCATTGTAGTTTGTTGTTGTTATTGTTCGTTCTGGTTTCAGGGACACGTGTCACGAGCTGCTGGGTCACGTTCCTCTGCTGGCCGACCCGAAGTTCGCTCAGTTCTCTCAGGAGATCGGTTTGGCCTCCCTGGGATCGTCTGATGAGGATGTTCAGAAACTGGCTACAGTGAGTGACGTTGTTAAGACCCCCTACAGGCCACAGTCATCATCACACATTTTTATTATTCAATTAATCCTTCCTGAGGGATTCAATGTCACTAAACTCCAGTTCATCCTCTCAGGAGTAGCAATGAATAAAGACTTAAGTATCTGACATCAAGGTTGTTGACTGTAGACCATAGTTTGGACTTGTTGGACTGTTGTGTTTTTGTTTTTACCAGTTTTTCATAAATGAAGATCAATTCACCCCCCAGACCTTCTTTTAAATCATACATAAACTTTTATTTTGTGTTTAAAAGTAGCCAACCAAATCTAAATTGCATTCAACATTTGTCGCGAATAACAAAAAATAACCTTGAATATAAACTATATATATACTGTAAGTGCAGGACTGTGTGGTACTCTGCAGTACTGTATGGTACTGTGTGGTAGTCTGCGGTACTGTACGATACTCTATGGTACTGTACGGTCCTCTGCGGTATCGTACGGTACTCTGCAGTATTGTGTGGTACTGTGTGGTACTCTGCACTACCGTATGGTACTGTGTGGTACTCTGCAGTACTGTATGATACTCTGCAGTACTGTATGATACTCTGCAGTACTGTACGATCCTCTGCGGTACCGCATGGTACTCTGCAGTACTGTACGGTCCTCTGCGGTACTGTATGGTACTGTGTGGCACTCTGCAGTACTGTATGGTACCGTATGGTACTGTATGGTACTCTGCAGTACTGTATGGTACTGTGTGGTACCGTATGGTACTGTGTAGTACTCTGCAGTACTGTGTGGTACTGTATGGTACTGTATGGTACTCTGCAGTACTGTGTGGTACTGTGTGGTACCGTATGGTACTGTGTGGTACTCTGCAGTACTTTATGGTACTGTATGGTACCGTATGGTACTGTGTAGTACTCTGCAGTACTGTGTGGTACTGTATGGTACTGTATGGTACTGTATGGTACTCTGCAGTACTGTATGGTACTGTGTGGTACCGTATGGTACTGTGTGGTACTCTGCAGTACTTTATGGTACTGTATGGTACCGTATGGTACTGTGTAGTACTCTGCAGTACTGTGTGGTACTGTATGGTACTGTATGGTACTGTATGGTACTCTGCAGTACTGTATGGTACTGTGTGGTACTGTGTGGTACTGTATGTTGTGATACTCACTGATTACTGTGTTGTGTGTTTTGAACAGTGTTATTTCTTCACTATTGAGTTTGGACTCTGCAAACAGGACGGTCAGCTGAGAGCTTACGGAGCCGGTTTACTGTCATCTATTGGAGAGCTGAGGGTAACAAACACAATACCATTAAATCACTTCCACACTGATTATTACTTATTGATTAATCTGACAGTTATGGTCTGATCAACTGATCCATTGTTTGCTCTGTAGAATATCAGAAAATATAAATATAAATAAACAACATATGTTTAAAATAGTTGCTGGATGCAGATTCATTTTCTCTCCACTGACTGAACAATTAATTAATAATTAATCAACCATTAATCATGTTTTTTTTTCCCAGCATGCCCTGTCAGATCAGGCCTGTGTGAGGATGTTTGACCCAAAGACGACCTGTAACCAGGAGTGTCTCATCACCACCTTCCAGGAAGTGTACTTTGTATCAGAGAGCTTCGAGGAGGCCAAAGAGAAGATGAGGTAAACAAACAACAGACAAACAAATACAGCAGGAGGATAATAAACCAGTCTATGATGTCCATATACAACAAAAATTACAGAATAATGATAAGAAAAAGAAAAAGAAACAAGAATTTAAACCAGGGGTGTCAAACTCATTTTGGTTCAGGGGCCACATACAACCCAATTTGACCTTAAGTGGGCCTAATAATTAAGGCATAATTACCTATAAATAGCAAGAACCCCTAATTGTTCTCTTTGTTTTATTGCAAAGAAATAGTAATACATTCTGAAAATGATCACATTTAATAAACTTTCTTTTCACAAAATATTATAAACAACCTGAATTTTCTTAAGGAAAATAAGTGCAATTTCAACAATATATTATATTCATTTCATTTACACATGTGCATTACAATTTAAAGATCAGTGGATGTGGATCTACAAAGCCACAGAACATTAGGTAACATGTACCTGGAACTGAACAATAATATCAGGGTAACTTTCTCTTACAGTTAATAACAATTAAAACAACTTGTCAAGATCTAGAAATTATTTTAAATGTACATACATTTTCACATCTGTGCAGTAATCCTGACCACCTGAACTGACTCACTGCAGCATACAAACTAAAGTGGGAGCTATTAGGAAAGGTTCAGTTATTCTACTTAACCTATCCTTATAAATGTATAAAATGTATACATAAAAATACATGAAAGTTGTGGCAGTGCATGAGCAATAGAGTTCCACCAAACCAAACTATTTTGTACTGAAGCTGCTGAATGACATATTAGTGCACAATGTTCAGTAAATAGTGAGTTAACCTACTTCATATAAAATGCTGCTTCAGACACTTTTGCACACTGAAGAATACAGCTCTGTGAAAATGCATGCTTACATACAGTAAGTATTCATTTTCACAACTTGTCAAGATCTGGAAATTATTTTAAATTTACATACATTTTCACATCTGTGCATCTGTGAAAATGCATACTTAGACATAAATGCATACTTAGACATAGTAAGTATGCATTTTCACTGAGCAAAAGTGTCTGAAGCAGCATTTTACATGAAGTAGGTTTACTCACTGTTTAGTTTGCAAAGTTTAGTCTCCTTTTTGACAAAGTCATTTTGACTAATGAGTGTTATAAGAGGAATAGAGCAGTGTAACGTGTGTGTGGTCGAGCGAGAGAGAGAGAGAGAGAGAGAGAGAGAGAGAGAGAGAGAGAGCAGTGGTGAACGGCAGCAGAGCAGAGAAGTAAGTTATCAGGTCTAGCAGTAAATGTACAGTGTGAGTTACAGTTGTCGGTGAATAAAGTTTAATAAAGCATTGTGCTATGTACGCAACTCTGTCTTCTCTGTAATTTTAACACATCCCGCAGGCTGGAAGGAACCCTCTGGTGGGCCGATTCCGCGGGCCGGAAATTTGACACCTCTAATTTAAACTAAAGGATTTGTGCTGTCAAACGATTAAAATCGCGATTAATCGCATTAATGTCATAGTTAACTCGCAATTAATCGCAATTAATTGCACATCTTTATCTATTTTAAATGTCCCTTGATTTCTTTTTGTCCCATTATTTTTTCTCATTTTAATGCTCTTATCAACATGGACAAGTGGATCGGCTTGCTTTGTGCAAATGTTGTTTTTATTGAAAACAACATTGGCATATACTGTAGTATTCAATTTCACACTAACATTCTCACTTGGAGCAAATAATCTCTCACACAATGTAACACTGTCCATCAATAAAAGGGTGAAAAAAATACTTTGTCACACAAACAGCCCCTTCAACAGCCCTTTCTAAGGGATCAAAACAGGGCGATACAAAATAAAATTACAAAGTGCACATGTAAGGTAAACTAGGACTCCTATAGTGCAGTTAAACCATGGCTTAATACTTTTCTCAAGTTTGCTTTGAACATAGCAGTCAGGCTACTGCTCTTTATTCAGCAGAGGCTCAACCCAGCCTCTTATTTCAGAAAGAATGAACAGTAACGGTTACCAATAAAAGGTAAGCCTACTACATCTTTGCTTTGAGCCAGTTACTCAAACAGCCAAGCCTGTTGACATTTTCAGACAACAAGGAATCCATCCATTTCGGCGTCTTGCGCTCGCCATCCACTCAAAACGTAATGTCTGCTTCTCTTAAACAAGTGTGTGTGGCGTGCCTGTTGTTTTGTTTCCGGTCTAGCTAGATCCAGTGTGGTGTTGTAGTTTTTCTAACGTTACTAGTTGTTGCAACAGCATGTGAAAAAAACTACAAAGTGTGCTAGGAGTTAATCTCGCGATAAAAAAATTGACGCCGTTAAAATGGGTTTGCGTTAACGCCGTTAATAACATGTTAAACTGACAGCTCTATAAAGAATATCTGCATTTCCTGAAGAAACTGTGTGTGATTTCTGCACCTGCTGCAAGACGTGTTCACATCTAAAGATGCAACCCAACATCTGTCGTAATTGGATACTGTGTTCAAGAGATATTGGTCCAAAAGAGATAACGGTCCAAAAAACGTGTGGAAGAAGAAACAGAATTCTAAGAAAAATGAAGACTGAAGATAACGATGTGTGATTGCAGCAATCACATAATATGTGTCAAATTATTAGACTTTAGAAAAGTATGAAATAAAGTTAATATTAATAATATAATTATTGTTACAGTACAGGCCTCAGCCCTGTATCTACAGCACAACCACTGTCTAGTATCTACAGCACAACCACTGTCTAGTATCTACAGTACTGACCTCCGGCATTACATTTGGAACCATTAAGTGACAAATCACGCTGTTGGGCAGACAAAAAACGTCCCGGAGGGGCTGCGAGCCGAGCTGCTGCTAACGTTAGCTCAGCTTCTTTCTCTGATAACTTAAGATCCAGACGTCTGATGACTAAAATCCTTCATCCCGTTCAAATCTAGAGTTAAAAAGCACCAAGATCTAAACAGTTGATGCTAAAAATGTGACTTCAGACTGGATAACGCAGCGTTACTTGAATAAAGAATTCAGAATTCTCTGATTTTGAACATTGTTAGAAACATTTGGGATGATGTAAGTGTCTCCTCTCTCTCACAGGGAGTTTGCTAAGACAATAAAGAGGCCGTTCTCGGTGTACTACAACCCGTACACTCAGAGCATCGACCTGCTGAAAGACACCCGCAGCATCGAGAACGTGGTGCAGGACCTGCGCAGCGACCTGACCACCGTGTGCGACGCTCTGGGGAAGATGAACACCTACATGGGGATCTGAAGCTGATTCACTGCTGAGTGCTGATTGGTTCAAATCATCAGTGACATGCCACAACGCTGCAGCACAACATCACTCCTATGTTCATCTGTTATCTGTAAATAAGATTTACTGCATATAATAAAGTCAGTGTTTATAGAGAGATATAAGCAGTTAGTAAAAGATTTATTAATGCCTAATAAACATTTACAAATGCTTCATAGATTGTTTGGGTTGCCAGGTTGTGAACAGCTGTGATACTTTCTTGTTGGTAATAATGCAGTCATAAATGTTGTAATGTATCAATAAACGCTTTATAGAGGGTGAATTATCAGAGTGCCACCAAAAACAGGAACAAGTTTAAAACATTTAAAGAGAGATCATGTTGCTGTTTTTTGTCCATATTTGAAATCAAGTCTGTAACTTCCAAAATAAAACAACTTAAATGTCTGATTAACTTGATCTTGTGATGGAGATGATCAATAATCTTTATCAGTGCTTTATGAGTGCTTCTACTCATTATTTTTTTTAGTTATTTTTCACCAGATGAAAATGTTGATTAATTCTACTGAAGTCGCCAAGAAGAAAAATATTGTGAGTTCAACTTCACAACATTAACCTGCACCGCCTCCCAGATACAGCAATGAATTATGGTCCATGTGCAGGACCAGATCTGGTATCCAGTTACGGCCCCAGACAAAGCCACATCTCAGACTGTAGGAGTATATCTGACCACGGGTTCCAGATGTCAGCTTGGACCAAACGTTTTAATGCTGCAGTCGGACGTTACCTTTCTCACAACGCGGGAAAAACTTATTACTTACTCATTATAATCAATGAAATACATCTGAAGCCTGATTATAAAAGTGCATTTTTAGAAGGGAATTAAAAGATGAGACAGATTTATTGAACCTGAACCTGTTAGTTATCTCTCTCCTCCAGCCTGCAGGTTCTTGGTCTGTCTGTGTGTGTTTTTAAATATCTCTGTCAAAAGACACTCCTACGTTTCCATCCACAGAAATATAATTATGTATATATACGAATATATATATGTATGAAGGGGTGTCGTCGTTGGTTGTTTTGAGTAAAATCAGTTTATCTGTTAGCTAACATTAGCTCATATTAGCACCTCACTGCCATCTCAGTGTGAACTCCGGGGTTAAAGACGTTTTCACATCCAACTCAGTGAGTTCAGGATTTATTTCGATATGCTGGAGACTGTTGGAAGACTAATTAATGAGTTAAAAAGCCAGTTAATCTTGTCTCTCTGGACTTTATGTATATATTTATATATAATATATACTTCCTGCCTCTCTTGTAGATGCTACCACACAAATAACTAGAACCAGGATGATAAAAGCTGTCTTTGCTTTCTCTGAACTCCTGTGTAGGCCACAGATGATGAGGACGTACATACAGAGGGGATTAAGTTGGTGATGTGATGGTGAAAGACGAAGAAGACTTCCTTGACGTGTCAGTGGTCCTTGAGCAAGCGGTGATCTCGTCTGATCTAAAGGACATCCAGAATGTCAGTGCCATGCTGATGTGCTTTCTGTTTGCTCTCAATATCCACTATCCAAAGGAAATGAGGTACGTCATTCAGAAAGTCTTCATGAACATTGATGGAGGACAGTGCTCCTCCCTCGTGCATGGTTTAAGAAACAGGCTTGAACCCTGAACTCCTCTTCTCATGCAAAATGTGCACATAGATAATCAGTACGGTTTCACAGCAGTTTCAACAGTTCAGCTCCAGAATTAGTTCAGTTTCAATTCAATTTCAATTTCAATTTTATTTGTATAGTGCCGAATCATAACAGAAGTTATCTCAGGACACTTTTCAAATAGAGCAGGTCTAGACCGAACTCCTTATAAGATTATTTACAGAGACCCAACAGTACCACCATGAGCAAGACCTTGGCGACAGCAGCAAGGAAAAACTTCCTTTTACCTGCTCTATTTGAAAAGTGTCCTGAGATATCTTCTGTTATGAATTGGAGCTATACAAATAAAATTGAATTGAATTGAATTGAACTTGTTGATCCAAAGATGTATCGTGAAAGGGTTGGCAGTTTAATCTATGTAATGACGTGTACTAGACCAGTGTAATGAACCAGTAATCCTACCCCGATTCCCAAACGAACAACTAACACAGTGTTAACAATCAAGTGATGTGATTTATTTACAAACAGGTGAAACAAAGTGCAACAAAAACCAACCAACAAACTTCAGGGTGAACCAAGGCCAAAACAACAAATAAAACAGAGCTAACTTTCTTAAACAAAAATCCTTATTAATCCCTACTTAATATAAAACAAAATACAATTACTAAACCTAACTCCCTAACCTAAATGAAAAACATATGAGAAAAGCAGTACAAAGAAAATGGCAGCTCACCCCTATGATACTCACTATACACAGTCATATGAAAACACAATCAAATGCTATCTTAACAGTTTGCTAGTAAAACAAGCTCTTTCAAACACACATCTACAGCAGTAGATGGAATAGATTCATATTTTGGAAAACCTGAAGGTCTGATCATTAAACTGATATAAACTCTAGATCTATGTTCTATATGTAATTGATTCGATCAATAATCTATAATCAATAAACAGTGTACAAACTCTAGAGCTATGTTCTATATGGAGTTGATTCAATCAATAATCTATAATCAATAAACAGTGTACAAACTCTAGAGCTATGTTCTATATGGAGTTGATTCAATCAATAATCTATAATCAATAAACAGTGTATAAACTCTAGAGTGGTTGTAATCAGTCTGTCTGAGACTCTGGATATATTTTTTGAGAACTTTTTATACTTTTTACTTATATTTTTGACTTTTATTTCTACATTTTTACACAAACTGAACTTTTTACTTTAGTTTGATTAGTTTAGTTGAATTACATCTATTATTTATCATTGATCATTTTAGAGCCTGTACTTTTATTACTATTACTACAGAGTCTTCATGAACATTAACAGTTAATCCGGTTTGAAGGATTCCTTCAATACAAATAACTTTCCGGCTTCAGTAGTTTTCCATATGATTGATGAGAAAATGGCTTCACTCACCAAACATGCAAATCCACTGGTTGTAAACAAAGCTGAAGAATCTGCAACAACAAAACAACCTGAGGTCTAACTGCACTTTACAGTGTCCTTCCAACACTGAGAGAGAAAACATTTATTTCTAAGTTTCTACATGAATAAAACACATCTCATCTTAAGTCAGGTCAAATATTTCTTTGATCTCCACCCGTCCGTCCTCCATCAGCGTCTCCTGCAGCCGAGGTCGACTCAGCTTCGTCCACAGACGCTGCTTCAGCTCCAGGACCTGCGACATGTAGTCCTTCAAATGAGACCACATCAAACTTTAACTGTGTCTGTTATTGAACTGAGCTCACTGCTGCAGGACACACAGAACGACCACAGGGAGAGGATAGCAACTAGCTAACTGTAGCACAGACTAATAGTCTATTTACAGCCAATATTTCCCCACTGAACCAGAACTGTTGAGTTTAATGTTAGAAATGTTCAGTTTGGGTTATTATTGATAAATAATCACAGCAGCAAACACACAGGTCAATGACAAAATGCTACGCAACAAAAACACGCCAACAGAACTGATAAAAAGTTGCCTAACGTTAGCTTCTCCAGCTAACGTGATCCATGATGCTAACTTATGTATTCTGACAAAAAGTGTTGAGGCAGGGACATCCAGCTAGCTAATTGTAGCTAAGCTAAGCTGGGGTTGTCCGGCTGTATCTTGGCTGCGCGGTGTGGGTCTGGTGTTGGTTGCTTCGTGGTGTTGGCTGATGGGTTGATTTGTAAACGGCGAGCTAGTTAGTAGCATGGAGCTAACGGTCCAAATACATTGCAGAACATTGCAGAAAGCATGATGCAACTGGACGCTGACTGCAGTTCACTGAATGACCACTGGTGGCGCTGTTAGCTACAGTTTAATGAACGACCACTGGTGGCGCTGTTAACTACAGTTTAATGAACGACCACTGGTGGTGCTGTAGCTACAGTTTAATGAACGACCACTGGAGCGCTGTTAACTACAGTTTAATGAACGACCACTGGTGGCGCTGTTAGCTACAGTTTAATGAACGACCACTGGTGGCGCTGTTAGCTACAGTTCACTGAATGACCACTGGTGGCGCTGTTAGCTACAGTTTAATGAACGACCACTGGTGGCGCTGTTAACTACAGTTTAATGAACGACCACTGGTGGCGCTGTTAGCTACAGTTTAATGAACGACCACTGGAGGCGCTGTTAACTACAGTTTAATGAACGACCACTGGTGGCGCTGTTAGCTACAGTTTAATGAACGACCACTGGTGGCGCTGTTAGTTACAGTTCACTGAACGACCACTGGTGGCGCTGTTAGTTACAGTTTAATGAACGGCCACTGGAGGCGCTGTTAGCTACAGTTCACTGAACGGCCACTGGTGGCGCTGTTAGCTACAGTTTAATGAACGGCCACTGGAGGCGCTGTTAGCTACAGTTCACTGAACGACCACTGGTGGCGCTGTTAGCTACAGTTTAATGAACGACCACTGGTGGCGCTGTTAGCTACAGTTTAATGAACGACCACTGGTGGCGCTGTTAGCTACAGTTTAATGAACGACCACTGGTGGCGCTGTTAGCTACAGTTCACTGAACGACCACTGGTGGCGCTGTTAGCTACAGTTTAATGAACGACCACTGGTGGCGCTGTTAGCTACAGTTTAATGTTACATAGAGAAGCTTTAATAATAATAAATATGTTTGTTGGAGTTGAAGATAAATGTCTTACAGTGTGTTTAGAGGAAGAAAGAGCGGCGAGGACAGACGGCTGTAACACAGAGTTGTAGACCTCTCTGTAGCGGTCCACACACAGACCATGGATCCAGACTGGTTGCTGGTCTGCTGGACTTGAGTCCAGTCTCAGAGCCTTGTGCTGTTCCCTCTGTGGACTGCAGTCAGAACGTCTCTGCTTTTTTATCTGCTCAGCTTCAATCCCACTTCCTGACATCACTTCCTGTTCCCAGAGAAACAGGAAGTAGAACAATGTAAAAACAAACATCTGCAGTACAGTTACTCAAGTACTTTATATTACTTTATATTTCATTACATTTATCTGACAGTTATTTACAGATTCAGGTTCATCATATAAAATATCATCTACATATTATTATAGATTAAGATATAATAAAACTTTATTGATTAAATCAGCTGCAACATTAAACACATTAATGCTTTAATAATAATTAATATCCAATAACCCATACATTCAAGATGGCGCCATGTACAGCCGCCTTGTGTGTTGGTGCGCTTAGTTTTTTCTTGTTTTGTGTGTTAATTCAGTTTTGGGCTGTGATACCCGGAGCTCTTTCACTAGAGAAGAGCTCATGAACATCAGGGGAATAACTCCAGCTGATCTCTTTCCCACTTTTCTTCTTTCTTCCGTCGAATTATTGGACATTGTGGTCAAAGGTGCGCTCACATTTGCTCACGCAGTGAAACGCAGGAGGAGAGGGAGACGTTCTGGTGCGCTTGTGCGTCTCCGCCAGCGCGGACATCACACACCGTTACCTGGAATATTCCTCTCCAATGTGCGCTCACTGTGCAACAAAATGGACGAACTTCAGCTCCTTCTGGGGAAAAACAGTGACTTTTCTTCATCCTCTGTTTTATGCTTCACGGAGACGTGGCTGGGTGGATCGATACCGGACTCTGTGCTTCAGCTGGCAGGCTTCCAACTCCTCAGAGCGGATCGTGACACGGAATTCTCCGGCAAAACAAAGGGTGGAGGTATCTGTTTTTATACCAACAGTAGCTGGTGCAATGATGTAACAGTGATCAAACAGCACTGCTCTTCTACTCTGGAATATTTCATCATAAACTGTAAACCTTTTTACTCCCCCTGTGAGTTTGTTTCATTCATTCTGGTCGGTGTTTACATTCCACCGCAGGCCAACGTGCAGGACGCACAGCGAATGCTTGCCGACCAGATACTGTGTGTGGAGCGGACTAACCCGGACTCCTTACTTAATGTCCTTGGTGACTTTAACAAAGGAAACCTCAGTCACGGACTTCCTAAATACAAACAGTTTATAAAATGCCTGACCAGAGAGAAGAACACACTCGATCACTGTTACACTACAGTCTGCAGAGCTTATCACGCCGTCCCCCACTCCGCACTGGGCCTCTCTGACCACGTCATGGTCCACCTGATTGCTTCATACAGGCAGAAATTAAAACTCTGTAAACCTGTTGTGAGGACATCAAAGCAGTGGACCAGTGAAGCTGTGGAGGATCTCCAGGCGTGTTTGGACTCTACTGACTGGAATGTGTTCAGGACTGCTACTGAAAGTCTGGATGAGTACACAGAGGCTGTGACATCATATATCAGCTTCTGTGAGGACTGCTGTGTACCATCACACACCAGGGTGAGTTACAACAACGACAAACCTTGGTTCACAGCCAAACTCATTCAGCTACGGTTGCAGAGGGAGCAAGCGTTCAGGAGTGGGGATGGGGACAAGTTTAAGGAGTCAAAGTGCAAGTTTAACAAGGCGGTGAGAGACGCTAAACGAGAGTACTCTGAGAAACTTCAACATCAGTTCTCAGCCAATGACTCTGGTTCTGTCTGGAAGGGGCTCAGATAGATAACAAACTACAAGCCCAAAACCCCCCGCTCCATCAATGACCTGCGCCTGGCAAATGAGCTGAATGAGTTCTACTGCCGCTTTGACAGACAAAGGAGCAGTCCTGACTCCTTCACCCGTGACACCCCTCACCAGGAGCCGGGGCCACTTCACAGCTTCACACCTCTGTGAATCCCTCCTCCTCCACCACAGTGACGACTCTCTGCCTCCAAGAGAGGGACGTCAACAGACTCTTCAAGAGGCAGAACCCCCGCAAAGCAGCCGGACCAGATTCTGTCTCTCCATCCACCCTGAAGCACTGTGCTGACCAGCTGTCTCCGGTGTTCACTGACATCTTCAACACCTCTTTGGAGATATGTCATGTGCCAGCCTGCTTCAAAGCATCCACCATCATCCCTGTCCCCAAGAAAGCAAGGACCACAGGACTAAATGACTACAGACCTGTTGCCCTCACCTCTGTGGTCATGAAGTCTTTTGAGCACCTTGTGCTCTCCCATCTGAAAGCCATAACGGACCCTCTCCTGGACCCCCTGCAGTTCGCCTACAGAGCCAACAGGTTTGTAGACGACGCAGTAAACATGGCCCTGCACTTCACCCTCCAGCATCTGGACTCCCCAGGAACCTATGCCAGGATCCTGTTTGTGGACTTCAGCTCTGCGTTTAACACCATCATCCCTGCTCTGCTATAGGACAAGCTCTCCCAGCTCACTGTGCCTGACTCCACCTGCAGGTGGATCACAGACTTCCTGTCTGACAGGAAACAGCACGTGAAGCTGGGGAAAAATGTCTCTGACTCCCAGACCATCAGCACTGGTTCCCCCCAGGGCTGCGTTCTTTCTCCTCTGCTCTTCTCCCTGTATACTAACAGCTGCACCTCCAGTCACCAGTCCGTCAGGCTCCTGAAGTTTGCGGATGACACCTCCCTCATTGGGCTCATCTCTGGTGGAGATGAGTCTGCCTACAGATGGGAGATTGACCATCTGGTGACCTGGTGCAGCCAGAACAACCTGGAGCTAAACGCTCTAAAAACAGTGGAGATGGTTGTGGACTTTAGGAAGAACCCAGCCCCACCCGCCCCCATCATCCTGTGTGACTCCCCAGTTGACTCTGTGGAGTCCTTTTGCTTTCTGGGTACCATTATCACCCAGGACCTCAAGTGGGAGCTGAACATCAGCTCCCTCTCTAAGAAAGCCCAGCAGAGGATGTACTTCCTGCGGCAGCTGAAGAAGTTCAACCTGCCAAATACGATGATGGTGCACTTCTACACCGCCATCATCGAGTCCATCCTCACCTCATCCATCACCATCTGGTACACTGCGGCCACTGCCAAGGACAAGGGCAGGCTGCAATCTGCCATCCCTCCAGGACCTGTACGCCTCTAGGACCAGGAAGTGTGCAGGTAAGATTGTGGCTGACCCCTCCCACCCCGGTCACAATCTCTTTGAGATACTTCCCTCTGGCAGGAGGCTGCGGTCCATCAGGACTAAAACGTCTCGCCATAAAAACAGTTTCTTCCCGTCTGCGGCTGGCCTCCTTAACAAGGCCCGGATTACCCACTGTCATTGACTCTTATACCCACCCTGTATATAAAGTATGCATTACATTAATGCAACCACGTTCTTCTGCACAGCTTTCTCTTTCTCTTCTTATCTTTATCTATTTATTTTTTTAAAGTACTTTATTTTTCTGTGTGATTTTTATGTGATTTGAATAATTGTACATTTGTATATTTGTATTTGTATATGTGTATATTTTATGCACCAACTGCACCAGGTCACATTCCTCATAGGCGTAAAAACCTACTTGGCAATAAACAAAATTCTAATTCTGATTCTGATTCTAATATAATATATTCTATATAAAGAGGACTTTTGTACTGTAACTGTTATAGAATATTTCTACTCTGTAGTATTAAAGTAGAAGATCTGGAGACGTATATCAATAATAATGATCAGTTATCCATCAGAGTTATCTATCAGTTATCTATCAGTGATCTATCAGTTATCTATTAGTTATCTATCAGTGATCCATCAGTGATCTATCAGTTATCTATCAGTTATCTATCAGTTATCTAATAATAATAACAATACATTTTATTTATAATGCCCTTTTCATCAAAAGATCTCAAAGTGCTACAGGTTAGAAACAAAAAAAGATAAGCAGTTTTTAAAAAAATAAGAAAAGGAGAAAAGAATAAAAAATAAAAAAGGTTTTTTTAAAAAAAAAAAAAAGAACATCTAAAAGGGACCAAAAGCTTTGCTAAAAAGAAATGTCTTAAGATCCTTTTTAAAACAGTCAGTGGATTGTGGTGCCCTCAAGGTGTCAGGGAGGGCATTCCACAGACGTGGGGCGGCAGCATAAAAGGCCCTATCTCCCGTGGTCCTGAGTCTGGTTCTGGGTATGTGGAGGAGGTTTGAGTGAGTGGAGCGGAGGGAGCGTGTTTTGTTTTGTGGGTTGATAAGTTCTTTGAGGGAGGGGGGGGCATGTCCATGGATGCATTGATGTGTGAGGAGAGAAACCTTGTACTGTACTTGTATCTATTAGTTATCTATCAGTTATCTATCAGTGATCTATCAGTTATCTATTAGTTATCTATTAGTTATCTAACGTACCGGAACCCTAACCCGAACGATTTTCATGCTAATATTCAATATAAATTCCCTTTAACTACTAAGTTAAATGATCATGTAATGGTTTCGGTTGATTTTAAGGTGCTAAAGTAAAGACGAACTTCTTACCTTTCTAACCGTGTATCGTTTTAAACATTTACTTTTGCTCGGTCTTTACTAGAGTCGGTAAAAGGATGCTAACGCCGGTGATTTAGCCGTGAGCTGCCGGTCTAACGGCAGCGTCCGCCCGCTGTAAACATTGAACACTGCTGGTGTTGTGGGGGTATTAAGTTGTTCCTGAGACTGACAAACTAACATCAACTCATCTGGGATCGTACTTTCCTCCTTCAAAATAAGATACAATGCTTTAACAACTCTAATTTATGCAGTTATACCGCTATACCGCCACTACTGGATATTTTGTTAAACACTTCTCATTTCAATCACTTGTAAAATACAAGCTAATGCATTTAATTTAGCAATTACAGACACATATGCTGTATGCTCATATAACAATTACCTGTAATGGACTCAGTGCAGAGTTAGTATGTAGCATAATATAACAAATAAATGTTCATGCATACAATTATATTATTTAATCAAAAGACAAATGACATGACATGAAAAATATTTTACTAAATTGACAGGACAAAAAACAGCAATATATACAATATATACAAACAAATATATAAAGGATAATCAAATTAAAAACAAATTAAATAACAAACTTATCGAACATATTAAGGCACCAAAAACACAAAAATTCGTCTTTGTCCAGCTCCTCCCAGCCGACACAAATAGTGTGAAACCATTTGTCACATTTGCACTGGACCCACAGCACCAATCCCTCCGAGCAGACACCCGGAGGGTCAGGTTCCCTGCACTGGCCACACAGATCTTCCATGGTGGTGGTGTGACCTACTCATAGAAAAAATATATTTAAGAACATGTTTTGAATATCATGGGATGGCACACAGACTGTTAATGTTAAATACAATACCAGTGGATGCCATGGGTCCAGCAGACGGCTGGGAGGAGCTGCGCCAGCTGTCTGTCTGCAGGCTGTATAAACAAGATGACATGTGTTGTTTACTCATCATCATCCCTAATATCACCAGCATCTTAGGACATTGTTTGTTTTTATAGATGATATAAAGCATTTACATTGGGAGGGAGAGGAAGACAATCTGGACCCTCGGAGGCCGAAGGCAGATGTTGATGGCTCTAAAAGAAAAATCATATTTTAGTATTACAACAAAATTATTTCCCAAAGCTGTATTAAAATTGCAGAGGAAATAATAAAAAAAACATGTGCTTTACCATCCAGTAGCCAGCCAGGAGCAGGCAGGCTAGGTGGGGATGTTCCGCTGGGGGCAGGCAGCTGGTGACCGTGGGAGGCACTAGAGGGGGCCGAGCGGGTTGAGGGACCGGCGATGGAAAGGCCGGAGCTGGAGGCCGAGGCAGCCCCTGGGGATGCTGTTCTGTGGCTGGGACAGGAGCCACCAGGCAGGGTAGAGGAAGTGGCTGTCAGGCCGTTGTTTTCGGCCCGCTGCTGCTCTCTGGCCAGAGCTTGGGCCTCCCGCCTTGCAGCACGGTCCTCCGCCTCCTCGATGGCATCAGACATCTCCTGAGCCGTCAGTATCCTGGCCTTGGTGGTATTCCTCCTGCCCTTGGTGGTATTATAACGCACCTCGGGCAGGAGGTGGGCCAGGTCTACTGAGATCCTGCCTGATGTTACCAGGGGATGGGTAGAGTAGGGATTGGGTGGACAAGGGACAGGGGGTGGACAAGGGACAGGGGGTGGACTCTGGTGTGGGGGGGGGGGGGTGTTGGGATGGGTGGGTAACATCAGGCATGGCCCAGGAAGATGCTGATGGGGTTGGCGGAGGTTGACAGGAGGTCCCACACCACGGTCTGGATGGCATGACCCGTGACCAATCAATGGCTTCCGGGTCCAGAGGGTACAGGCCACACTTCCTGAACCCAGCCACCAGAGATGTGTGTGGTGGAAGGCACAGGAGAATGACCTCCTCCCTCTGTGCCACCCGGACCAGCTCTGGATCCAGGTGGGATTTGTGCCCATCAAAAACAAGCAGCAGCAGGCGCTCCTGCGCGGCGAACTTCAGGAAATGCCCGACAAACCACTTCCTGAACAGCTCACTGTCCATGTACCCGGCCGGTGACTTCCCGTAGAGGGCGTCGGGGACCCCCTCCTTGTTATAGGGCCCCCCGGGATATCCCCCCTTGTAAATTATGAAAGGGGGGATATCCTCCCCAGCCGCGTTGAGGCAGGCCAGGACGGTGACGTGGTCCCTGGTCCCCTGGGCCTGCCTATAAGCATGTTTTGTCCCCCGGGGCACGAGGACCTTTCTTCTCGATAAGTCCAGCTGAAACCCCGTCTCATCGCAGTTATAGATTTGACGGGGTTTCTCCCTCAACCCGTGCTCCTCCATGGTGGTAGTGAGGAGCCTGAAGTAATCTTCAATCTGCCCCCTCTTGGCACAGGATGCCCTCCCACGGTCAATATTGTCTGGGGTACGAGAAGTGAAGCGCTGGTCTTGCCTCTTGCGGAAGTTGAGCCACCACGTCTGGCCCAACTTCCCCCTTCTCTCTTCTGGACAGCGCTGATTATAAATGGCTGTCGCAAAAGACTGAACCTGAGGCTTTGTCAGTGGAAACCCATGACTGGCAGAGTAAATGCAGTACTCCACCAGGGAATCTTCATCTGCAGGGGTGAGAAGTGGCCTCTGACTGTGCACACAGTTTTATACATAAGGAGGTGTATCTATATAACCAATATTTTCTATCATAAAAGCCTCTACTGGCTTTCAACACATCTCTCACACCCCTCCCTCTCTCTTACTCACACGCACACACCAATAATATATCAATTATTACATGATGACATCATGATAAAAAATATACTTTATTTATTTTAGCTTATAAACAAGAAAATACATCTGAATAGCTAATTTGAACGTTATTTTTGCATTAAATCTTCATGTGTACTGTGATACTTCACAGTTTAAACAAACAATGCTGCGCTTGCTCTGTTCCTTTGTTTTCCTTTCCCGGGTCTGTAACTTTTTCAATTTCAATAAAAAAAATTGGCCTCCGCCCACCTCGACCACAGACTGTATAAACACAATATCCGACATTTTCATTAGCTAGACTAATCAGTGTAAACCTAGCTACAATATGTACCCATATGAGAGTTTATTTAAGCTGTAAAGTGAAAATAGAAACGGACTTTTAAAGTTGACTGGATCGTCGCCCAAGTGCAATCTAAGCGTTCCCGCGGCTTCCCCTCATTAAAGTAACTTTCATATAATAATTATACATGCAAGTTAAATGTTGATGTATATTTATGAAAAACCACATATAGACTCTGTAAAATGTAGAAATTCCTTGGACTTACGTTAGATGGCGATCGTGTGCCGGGAAGTACCGCGAAAAGACCGGAAACTGCATCAAGCCGGAAGTTGTTCGGGTCCCGACGCTGGCAAAAACAGCATTCGGGTTGGGGTTCCGGTACGTTATTAGTTATCTATCAGTGATCCATCAGTTATCCATCAGTTATCCATCAGTAAATATTTTATATTTTTCTCACCTCCATCTGTAGACGTTTTCACTTCCTGTGCAAGCTACTTGTTTGATTTTATTTTGAAAAAACACAAATAAAAACATTCTAAACGTTTCTAGAAACCTTTAGAATGTTTTTGAATCTGTTGCTAGGTAACATCTGTACCGCTGTCCAATCAGGAGCAATCAACTACTTAATAATCAACATTGGAGGGAAATCTCCGATTATGGAGGTGATTCAGAATTTATAGTTTTTCTTGATTGCTTTGACCTGCTTAAAGAAACTGGGATCCACTCGGTTTTCATCATTACTGTCTCAGCAGAGCACAAGACACCTCTTGCAAATGTGTTAACCCTTCCTCATTGGATTGACACATTTTCCCCACCCTTTTGCAGAACAGTTAACACGGATGTCATTCAAACATTCCAAACTCCATTGTTTTAGCTATGGTAACCAAAGAGAATCCATCTGTTCCTAGTTATTAGAAACTACCTACATCAGTATGAAATCACTGAAGCACCTGTTTGACACTCCTTCACACAAATCTTCAATTAGCAATCAGTCTGCAGGCCTTAAAAGGTGCAGCGTCTGTGTTGTTCTTTGCCAACATGGATGGAAGAGGTCTAAGGCAGATGAGAGCGAGAGTAAGAGGTAGAGGGGTCCGAGTGCGAGGTGGAGGTATAGTTGGAAGGGCTCAGGTTTCTGATGAAATTCGGGCAACTGTTATTGATCACGTTATCAATCATGGCCTTTCACTTAGAGAGGCTGGACAAAGTCCAACCTGTTCTAAACAGAAACACTGTCGTATCAATTGTCAGAATTTTTCGACAGGAAAACAGGTAATGTTGCTGTACAGTATATACAGAAATATCTTCAGTGATATACTTTATGTAATTGTTTCCTCATTCCCATTACATGTATTCTTTATAGAATCCAAAGGCTACCATTCTCTGGTGGTAGAGGGAGAATGTTCAGTGCTGAGCAGGAGGCAGCCGTTGTGAACATGTGTGACCCCACCCAGGTTACAATGCGGACCGATACCCAGAATAGAATTATACCAGCCCTAGACACCAACCATCTGAGCGTTGACACAATTTTTAAAGGGTTCAAGAAAAGCGGGAGACGTGCATTCAGCTCTCCAATAATATTTATTAAAAATAAATTATACTGGCAACAGACCTGAAAAAGGAGAGAAACCATAAAACTAGTCAAAATTAGTTTATTCCACAATACTAAAATGGTCGAAACAACCAGTATATAAATAGCAAATGGCTTCACCATAACATAAAATACAATAAGATTAAATGATCGCGAGGAATAGGCAGAACAGGGTACTCACCGCGGCGAGACTTTATCACCCAATAGAAATCACCTTGTGTGCACACTGATCACTACAAACACTACAACTTGCACTGCAAGGAAAGTCAAACCTACAAACCAATGACGTGACCACTACCCTTCAAACATACCACACTGCATGCAAGGAGGGGTGCATATCCCACGACTACTCCCCGCAGGTCGTCCCACTGCCTAATCAAACAAAAGACGGAAAATACAGTGAGATTCAGTTGGTTCAGATTCACAGACATTCAGGGTCACTACACCCAATATAAAAAAGACAATATTCAACCATCTACAGATTATGTAAGTTGTACAGTCTGTAACACATTCGCCAACCGCCTTGGCGAACTGGCTCAGGCAAAGCAGCAGTCTGGCCTTAAATCTGCAATAAGGGGAAAGAAAACATAACAAAAGTCAGTCTCATCAGCTGACAACAACATACCTCAGAGGGCATGACCCTCCTACCTTACCATACTGGTTTCAGTTACCTTGTACATGTGGGGCTCTGCTAAGAAGCAATGCAACAGTTGAAAAGCTCTACTCTGGCTTAAAAGGGGAGATGGAGGAGCTGAGTCTTTGCCTAAAGAGATTTTATCATATTAGTGATATAGCTACGGTTTAATGAAGCCCCAAAGTTCACTGAGACATACCTCTTCAGCACAGGGCTACAGAGCATGCTCCATCTGGATCACTCAGGACAGTCACCACCACTAAATATACAAAAGATCTCATTAGATTTCTAATAAGGAAATATAACATTTTCCTCCTCCTCTCTCCCTTACCTGCACGACACAGCAATCCTGCCACACAACCAGGCCTCAGACAAAGAGGCACTAATTGCCCTCACCTGTCCTTATGAAGGCGGGGAGCTCCCTCTGACTCTACCTAACAGGGCGGTGCTTTGGATTTACAGGCCAGCCCCTCACATCTACCCCCTGTTTTTTTTCATTGTCGTCCCGACAATGCACTTTTAAAGCCAGGGCCTATGAAGGGCTAAAATCGAATTGACACTAGGGGGTCCTGCAGCCCCCGGGTGTGGCAGGCGATGAATGTTGGAGTGATGTCCCGCGGTGGATCGTGTTGTTCTTCTAGGGTTAACACTTGGGGGGAGGGGGGGGGGGAAGTGACTGTTACCATCAAGGGGCCCGGTGGAAAATCGACTCTCGACTGAATTCACAACATTACCAGGTTTCTCAGATGCCTGTTCCAACTGTGGATCAACCTCAACAGGTGGGGGGTGGCAGGTATTCCTTCTTGGAGGCTCACGTTGTTGCCACACATAGATGTCTCCATCCTCCTCCGTTCTCAACTGCGTCTCAGGGGGAGGGTGGGGTTAGTGGTCCTCTCTGCATCCCTGTTAAAGTTTTCACAAAGGTTACTGGGAATTGGTTTGATGGACTGTCTATTAACATGTTTTACCTTTTCCGGATGATCCAGGGGTGCCACTGTATACACTGGACCAGCATTATCAGGGACTTTGAGGATACGGTAGGGTGTGGGGCTCCAGTGGTCTTGAATTTTATTTCTGCCTCTTCTGCTATGGTCTCTGAGAAACACCAGCTGATGTAATTGCAGTGGGTCAGAGGCTGGTGCAACATGCCGCTCTGCACGTTTATGTGCTGCTATCTGCATCCGTTTCCTGGCTCCCTCATAAGCAACGTTAAGGCGTTTCTGGTGATCTTGTACCCAGCTGTGGACAGGGCCGTGCACTGGCTCTTCAACTCTTCCCAGCAGGAAGTCAATTGGGAGCTGAGGCTCCAATCCAAACATGAGAAAGTAGGGCTGTTCACCCGTAGATTGATGAACAGTGGTGTTGTAGGCAAATGTAAGCTGTTGCAGGTAGGTGGGCCAATTACTTTTCTGCTCGGGGGGCAAAGTTCTCAAAAGATCATGCAATGTCCTATTAAAGCGTTCACACTGTCCATTACCTTGTGGGTGATATGGAGTAGTGCGGGTCTTTTCCACACCATACAGTTGACACAGTTGTTGGATCACGGCCCCTTCAAAGCTCCTCACTTGATCTGAATGGATCCTAGCAGGGACACCAAAGCGGTAGAACCACTCATGAACTAGTACCCGGGCTACAGTGGTTGACTTTTGGTCCCTGGTAGCAATGGCCTGTGTGTATTTAGAAAACACATCAGTTAGAATCAACACATTTTCCCGGCCATCAGCAGAAGGCTCTAGATATGTAAAATCCATGGCTAGAATCTGGTTAGGCCTGGAGGCCAGAAGATGGCCCATTGTTGTCTTTGGTTTTAGGATAAACTGCTTTGGCTAAGGCACAACGTTCACACTGTTGACAATAATGCTGAATTTCTTTCAGCATGCCAGGCCAATAGCATCTCTGCCGCACCAATTCGAGGGTTCTGTCCAGCCCCTGGTGGCCATGATCATTATGCAACTGATGCAAGACTTCAGTTTTTAAGCTTTGTGGCAACACTAGTTGGCGCGTCGCCTCTCCACCATCCAGCCGAAATACCTGACGTTGGAGGACACCATCCCACTCCACCAGCTTCTTCCACTGACGCAACATTTCCAGTACTGTTGCAGGTAGATTTGTCCGTTCCTGTCGGTTTGGACCTGCCCCCCTGTGCCAAAATTTCAGGAACACACCGATGGTAGGGTCGTCTCTCTGTAAAGCCGCAAGATCAGCAGATGAATAAGATGGCAAAACAGAGACAATGGATTGAGTTACCTGCTGATGGGGCATGGCTTTGGTCTGGAGTAAAGTGTCAGGAAGAGAGGTGCCTGGCAACACAGCCTCAATTGGTGCCGTTGACTCTGACTGTTCGTACTGGCGCGACAGTGCATCAGCATTGCCATTTGAGCGGCCTGGGCGATACTTAATAGAAAAGTCAAATGATGAAAGTTGAGCAGCCCAGCGTTGTTCCAATGCACCCAGTTTTGCTGTGGACAAATGGCTTAGAGGATTGTTATCGGTATAAACACATTTATGACCCAAGAGGTATTCTCTAAACTTCTCTGCCATAGCCCATTTCAAGGCCAAGAACTCAAGTTTCATAGAACTGTAGTTTGACATATTGCGTTCAGTAGGCTTTAAACCTCTGCTAGCATATGCAATGGGGCACACGGTGCCATCCTGTTGCTGTTGTGAAAGCACTGCACCTAGGCCTAAATGACTGGCATCAATTTCCAGAATGAAGGGATGTGAAAAATTTGCATATGCCAATACAGGGGAATCCACCAACCTGGCTTTCAGATTTTGGAAGCTGGTTTCACATTGTTCAGTCCACGATTCTTGGAGGGGGCGTTTGGATGGCTTTTTAGTCTTTGTGCCACCCATCTCGGCTACTAGACGATGAAGAGGTGCAGCCAGTGAAGCAAAACCTTGGACAAAGCGGCGGTAATAGCTAGCAAAGCCGAGAAATGATCTCAGCTCGGTGACAGTTTTTGGAGGTTGCCAATTTGCCACTACAGAGATCTTCTCAGGGTCAGTTGCTACACCACTTTTTGAGATGACATGGCCAAGGTACTTTACCTCCGTTTTTAGGAAGCAACACTTCTCTAGTTTAGCCTTTAGGTTCTGCACCCGCAAGGTCTCCAACACAGCTCCCAGTCGTTGAATGTGCTCATCCACTGTGGCAGAGAAAACAATGACATCATCCAAATAAAGCAGTAATGACTGGTGATTGTACAAACCAAAGATCCTCTCCATCAGCCTTTGAAAAGTGCTGGGTGCATTACACAAACCAAAAGGCATCCTGTTAAATTCAAAGAGGCCAAAGGGGGTGCAAAAGGCGGTCTTCATTTTGTCAGGTTCAGCAACAGGAACTTGATTATACCCACTGGTTAAATCCAATGTGGAAAACCAGCGGGCACCTGACAGGGCATCGAGAGTCTCCTCAATTCGGGGTAGGGGAAAAGCATCTTTCCTAGTTTTAGAGTTCAGGAGACGGTAGTCAACACAAAGCCTAATGGTAGAATCCTTTTTTTTTACTACCACAATTGGGGAGGCAAATGGACTACAACTGTCACGGATGACTTTACTCTCTAGGAGCTGCTGAACATGTGCTTTGACAGCATCATATTCTGAGGGTGGAATACGCCTATACCGCTGGCAGACAGGTGTCTCATCTAGAAGAGGAATTTCATGAGCAATCAGATTTGTACACCCCAAATCACAATCATGGGAAGAAAAAAACAGACTGATAGGCATGTAAAAGGGACCTTACCCTCTCCTGGTCTTGAGCTGCAAGAGTGGACAAATCAAGGGTTTCAATGGCAGATGACAGGGGGTTGTCCGTCACACTCTGCATTGCCATGGTAACGATCTGCTCACCAGATGACCCCTCCTCCATAGTTTCAATGATGCTCTCTGGTTGGCTGACAATTTCGGCTTGGCAGAGGGTGCCAATCTGAATCCGAGGAGGTAAAATTACGTCTGTAGTCCCCACATTGGTTACAGGAATGAAGGCCGTACCATTGAGCACTTTGACCAGAGCTGGGGAAGCGAGGAGACCATTTGGCAAACCTGAATCCAATGGTTCAAACAGGGCTGATCCCGTATGAACTGGAGATGCCTTTCTGCAGGTAGTGGGCACCAGTTTCATCGTGCCGCCTGGGATTTGAATTTTTCGCCGGCCCTTAACTCTGACTGGGCCATGAACTTGTGGTTCGGGCTGGGGTTGGACTTGGTGACAGAACTGCAAAACCTTCTGCCAAGGGTTCTGCTTGACTGGGGGAAGATCAAAAAGAGCAGGACCATGTTCCAAAAACATCTCTCTATAGCACTCGCGTATTACATTCATGCCAAGAACTCCACACACTTCTGGATTGGGGCTGGCGTTGGTGATCTCTGATGACTAGTACACCATGTCTGGGGATCTGCTTGCCTAAGACTTGAAAATCAAGTTCCAAATAGCCAATGTAAGGGATTTCTAGCCCATTGGCTGCACGTAACCGTAACCAGTGGCACGCCCTCAGCTTCTCTGGGCCCCCTGTCTCAAAATGTTTGGCAAAGAAACTCTCTGTAATAGTGGTGACCATAGACCCAGTGTCTAATAGGCAAGAAATATTCACCCCCCCCATACTAATGGTGACCTTTGGACAGGACCCTACCAAGTTGGGTGTGGGGTCAGAATTTGGTAGAATATCCCCATTGGAGCCAGTAATGCCCCCATCTGAAATGTGGCTCAGCATAACAGAGGGCGCTAGTTTTCCGACTGCTGGAACTGGGAGGGCTGGATGACTGAACCCTGAGTAGAACCCCTAAGTTCAGAAGCCACGACCCTTTCATTATCACAGTCTTTGGCAAAATGTCCTGGTTTTTGACACCGTCTGCAGATGAGTGGCCCTCTCTTCTGAAAGGGTCTGGGCTTGACTGAAGTGTGGTTTGATCGTAGTCCTTGTGTAAGCTGATCAATTTGAGCCTGTTGCTGCTTCAACATTTCCTTAAGCTCTGCCAGCTCTGACCCTACAGTATCTTTCTGACCCCTAGCCTGTCCGGCATGCTGCATGCTATAAACTGAGGGGACAGAATAACTCCTGGGTCGGCCTAGTTCTTCCCCAGATCTGCCCTCACGTTCCCACCTAATAGCTTCATCCCTAATAGCATGAAGGTCACAGTCAGGATGTTCACGAGCCATTCTCCTAAGCTCCCGGCTCAAATTCCCATCCCCTACACACTCTACAAACTGATCACGCAGCAATTTAGCGGCATCAGGGATGCGTTTGTCTGGACAACTCTGGATCATCTTGTCCATTAAAGAAAACAGAGCATGTGAGAACTCCCTTAGTGACTCACCCTCCTGTTGCTTTCTAGCATAAAAGGCTTCTTTAACTGCAATGAAAGACATAGGACAGCTATACTGAGCCAGAAGGATCTCAAAAATACAGTCAGGGTCTCCCCTCACTTGCTGCGGCCGGTACTTAATCTCCTCACGAGCATCACCAATGAGATGATCATAGATAAAATGGGCCTTATCAATAGTAGCAAGTCTACGGGCACGCATGATAGCTTGTACTTCCTCAACCCAGGTCCGGATATTAATCTCACCTACGCCACTGAACAGTGGACAAGGTCTTTCCCTAGGGATATAAACTAATCTTTCCCGAGCAATGGCCTCCCCTGAGCTGGGGTCACACTGCCCATGGGGGCTAGAGGGGCCTGACTGTGACCGAGATACATTTAAGGAGTCCATCTTGTACTAAGGGAGACTGGGCATGGGAATGAAGTTAGGCCCACTGAATATTGACAGGACAGAGCTTTCAATAAGCTTGCCAGCTGCTGCTTTGCCTTAAAAGAGAAAGAAAAATACAATCCACTTAATACAATCCAACAATACACTTAAAATCATTCCACTGAACCAACTGATTTGAATGCACGTCTATGGGCTCTAAGACCCTGCTCACAGCGCCAGTTTGTGACCCCACCCAGGTTACAATGCGGACCGATACCCAGAATAGAATTATACCAGCCCTAGACACCAACCATCTGAGCGTTGACACAATTTTTAAAGGGTTCAAGAAAAGCGGGAGACGTGCATTCAGCTCTCCAATAATATTTATTAAAAATAAATTATACTGGCAACAGACCTGAAAAAGGAGAGAAACCATAAAACTAGTCAAAATTAGTTTATTCCACAATACTAAAATGGTCGAAACAACCAGTATATAAATAGCAAATGGCTTCACCATAACATAAAATACAATAAGATTAAATGATCGCGAGGAATAGGCAGAACAGGGTACTCACCGCGGGGAGACTTTATCACCCAATAGAAATCACCTTGTGTGCACACTGATCACTACAAACACTACAACTTGCACTGCAAGGAAAGTCAACCCTACAAACCAATGACGTGACCACTACCCTTCAAACATACCACACTGCATGCAAGGAGGGGTGCATATCCCACGACTACTCCCCGCAGGTCGTCCCACTGCCTAATCAAACAAAAGACGGAAAATACAGTGAGATTCAGTTGGTTCAGATTCACAGACATTCAGGGTCACTACACCCAATATAAAAAAGACAATATTCAACCATCTACAGATTATGTAAGTTGTACAGTCTGTAACACATTCGCCAACCGCCTTGGCGAACTGGCTCAGGCAAAGCAGCAGTCTGGCCTTAAATCTGCAATAAGGGGAAAGAAAACATAACAAAAGTCAGTCTCATCAGCTGACAACAACATACCTCAGAGGGCATGACCCTCCTACCTTACCATACTGGTTTCAGTTACCTTGTACATGTGGGGCTCTGCTAAGAAGCAATGCAACAGTTGAAAAGCTCTACTCTGGCTTAAAAGGGGAGATGGAGGAGCTGAGTCTTTGCCTAAAGAGATTTTATCATATTAGTGATATAGCTACGGTTTAATGAAGCCCCAAAGTTCACTGAGACATACCTCTTCAGCACAGGGCTACAGAGCATGCTCCATCTGGATCACTCAGGACAGTCACCACCACTAAATATACAAAAGATCTCATTAGATTTCTAATAAGGAAATATAACATTTTCCTCCTCCTCTCTCCCTTACCTGCACGACACAGCAATCCTGCCACACAACCAGGCCTCAGACAAAGAGGCACTAATTGCCCTCACCTGTCCTTATGAAGGCGGGGAGCTCCCTCTGACTCTACCTAACAGGGCGGTGCTTTGGATTTACAGGCCAGCCCCTCACACATGGTTGTGGCAAACAATGCCATAAGGCTGCGTGAAATCAGGGCAGCAGTGATCACAGATCAGGGCATGTTTAGGAACATCAACAACGTGAGAATTACCACCATTGACCGCATCTTAAGAAGGAACCATATGGCCATGAGGGTTAGGGTAGATGCAGTTCCTTCCAGCATATTCCCCATTTTTGAAT